TCTGCAAGTTGGCTATAAAACTCAATATAATCTATTCTAAAACCATGGAGTAGATCGTAACAAACAAGCCCACTGAAGCCCTGATAGTCAGGCTCGTCCCTTCGCTGCCACTCAGTTATGTAGGCACGCGACCGATCGCCGGAAACAACAGGTCTTTATAAGCTGGACAAAGGGAACGCATTCGGCGCACTCTGAAGGGATAGATGGCGTCTGAAAGCAGAAGAACCATAATATTAGGCATCATATCTCTTTCCCCCTCTCTCCTTCCTTTTTCCTTTTCCTGTAAGGCGCAACCCCCTTGAGCACGACAGCCAACAGCGCGCTTTGCACGAATTTCGCAACCTGGGATACGTCCGACGCGACACGCAAAAGAAGCAAAACCAAATATCCTCGTGATCGTGTGTCAAAGTCAGACCAATTTAGAGGCCAGCTCGCACCGTCCGGATTAACGTTCGCCGAGTGGATTGCCTTTTTTAGGAGAGTCGGAAAGAACCAAAGAACCAGGCAGTCCCAGAGCAGCCCGCCCCTAACCTCAGCCAACCCACCTTCCATCAATTCGTCCTTCCGCACGTCGTGCGCGCTTCTATCATCTACGCACAGTCATATATCGCAGTGAGTTCAATGCCTGGCTTTGCTTCTTATCGACCGCATTGTCCTCCCTATCGCTTTGTGGCCCGTGTCTAACCCACATCCCGCACAACCAGTTTCATTGACTATCGATCATCATAATGGGTAAGAAGGGAGGAAAAGGCAAGAAGGGAAAGAAGAGCGGCTCTACCTCTGCCGCCGCGGCGACAAACAAGGCCGCCGAGCCTGTGGCTGCTGCGTAAGTCGCACTGTTTACAATATATCGAATCGCGCGGATTTTATTGTTTGTGTCTTTGCGTCATCGGGAGACTGGCGGGTGTCGCGCCGGAATTGAGCATCGGCTAACACTTTTTTTCTTGTAGCGTTCCCGACACCTCTGTTGAAGAGACGGCCACAAAGAGCGAGAGCGAAGTCGAGCAAACCCCCACTCCTACTCCTGCCACCGCTGTTCCGGAGACCACGACCGAGACCCCAGTCTCTGCCCCACCAATTGTTGCCGCCGCAGCAGAGAACAAAGAAACTGTTCCCATTCCCGCAGCGGAGGATGCTCCGATAGAGGAGGCCGTTGATGCGGTACCGAAGTCCGAGACGAAGAAGGATGAGGTGGAAGAGACCGGTACGGGGAGCTACCACGATAACCGCCCTCTTAATACTATTGACTAACTTGCAGCAGTCGCGCCCGAAACCACGACCGATCAGCCCAAGGTGACGATCGAAGAACCCAAGGGGACAGCTGAGGAACCGAAGGCGAAGACCGAGGACGCGACTGCTCCGCTTACCACCCCCGAAGTCATTGCCGCGACGACCACCCTCCCCGAGAGGCTCAAGCAATCGGAGGGCCACGAGGAAACCCACGCCAAGCGACCCTATGAAACTCCCATATTTACCGAAAACGAACATAAGCCCGCGAAGATTCCCAAGGTTGAAGAGGAATCGAAGCCCGAACCCGCCTCAGTCGAGTCGCCCGTTGGAAAGGAGAATGCTGTCGACACAAACGAGTTGCCAAAGGAATCAGGCAAGGTGCCGCCTCAGATGGTCCCTGGACTTGGGTCGCACCCGGCTGATAAGCCACTACAGGACCTGGAATCCCCCGGGCTTTCCGTCGTTAGCAGCAACGTTGTTGCCAACAAGGCGCCCACCCCTGCTGTTGAGACGCCGGAGAAGCCTCAAGCTGCGGAGGCCCCTGCTCCTGAAGTTCCCACTGCTGTGAAGGAGACTATTCCTTCCAATGCGAAGGCCCCGGAACCTACCAAGGTTGAAGAGCCCCCAGTTGAAGCGAAGCCCCTGGCTACCACTACACCCAGCGCTATTGATACCCCCGCGGATACCGCCAAGGAGGAGGCAAAGACTCTGCCAAAGACCGAAGAGCCCGCAGTTACGCAGCCCACCGCTGCAGCTGCAGCTGCAGGTGCCGGCGCTGTTGGTTCTACTACGGACACCGCCCAGGAGGAAGCGAAGACCATCCCTCAGACCGAAGAGCCTGCGGTCACCCAACCTACCGCTGCAGCTGCGGCTGCAGGTGCCAGTGCACCCGCCGTGGAGGCACCCGCAGCCGAAGAAAAGCCTGAGGAGACGCCGGCTCAGAAGGAGCCATCTGTTGTGGACAAGGCCCCCGCTGATGCAACAACTGGCCCTGCTGCCACCGTCGGCACTACTGCTAAGGAAGAATCCAAGACAGTTCCTCCCACGCAGCAGGAGCCCGCAGTGTCCAAGCCCACAGCGGCGGCGGCCGCTGCTGCCACCGCAACCGCCACGCCTACTGTTGACAAGAAAGAAAAGACTGAGGAGCCCTCTAAGTCGAAGCTGGAGACACCCGAGGTGACCAAGCCCCCGGCTGCTGTCACGCCACCAGAGAAGGCTCATGCGGCCCCCGTTGCCAGCGAAGCACCCGGTGCCACTTCCGCGCCTGCCGACAAACCGCAGACTCAGCCTGAGAAGCTTTCCGAGAGCGCAGCTGCGGCGCGTGCTGCGACCCAGAAATCGCAACAGGCCAAGACTGCTGAGCCTCAATCTGCTGACAAATCGCCATCTGATGGCGCGGCCGCCGCCACGAAGCCAGAAGAGGGCAAGACAGCCACAGAACAGACCCCTGCAGCTCAACAAGAGACACCCAAGGGTGACAAGCGAAAGAGCAGTATCTTTGGTTGGCTCAAGCGCAAGGTTAAGGGGAACTGAGCGCTATAATCACCTAGTTTTCTATCTTTAATTTGTTTTGGTTTGCTGATTTCAGATTGCTCCATCCACCGGCTTGCAGTCTTGTCGAGTGGACGGTGTATTGGAGGGTGTTGGCGGGGAACTGGAGGATCTGACCCCGCATTTGCTGATACCCGATTACGCCGCAAGGTCAAAGTGCTGAGAACAAAAGAAATAATTATTATCGAGTCTAGATCGGCTGTATGATATGATGGATAATGGCACTTGCTCTTGTTTGTTGGATTAATGCTGTTGAGAGTCATACCGGTCTGTAGCGACTTTTCTCTCTTTAAGATATCAATGATACGAGCTTCACATTTATTAATAATCTTTCGCTTTGCGTTACTTAGGAGACGCCGCATCATCATCAACTCACCGTCTCGATCTGGCCCCCACCAGTCTCCATTTTGCGGAGTCTTCATCCCTGCTCGGACGCTGGCTCCAGGCTGGTAGACGACGGAGTACTTTCAATGACGATAGTGCTACCTGCGTGGGTCGTGATTCCATTCGAATCCACCGCACCAGCCAAGCTTTCTCTAAGCTTTCTTCCCAGTTATTCGCTGGCCAGGCTCAATCGCTCGAAAATGCGTCCATGGCGCGATGATCTGGCCTTGAAACAACCCAGTCTGATGCCCCGGCCACGCACGATCTCCCAATGGGCGATTCGCTGGCTGCTCGGTTCGGACTGCCCCTCCCCGTGTTGTCCGAACTTATGATGCAGCAGGGGTAGCGTGGCGGCGCCTATAACAACACAGCGCACCTGGAGACTCAGCTCCTGATCTCTCATCTTATCATCGCTTCTCTCCCTATCTACGCTTTATTTATCCCCAGCTTCTCACCTTTTGACATCCCGTTCCACCTCCAATCGCGTCATCACCATGGTCCATCTTGCATCCATTAAGAAAGACGAGGACTTCGAGCCTGTCACCAAGCGTGTCGATTCGATCAAGCTCGACACCACTGACGAGGATGAGTTCTCGACCACTGTCTATGGCACACACTTTGCTACTCGGCAGCTGCCTCACACAGAGATGCCGGATCGCGAGATGCCCCGCGATGTGGCTTACCGCATGATCAAGGACGAGCTGAGCCTGGATGGCAATCCGATGCTGAAGTATGACTCTTTCAATTGAAAGAAAAAGCTGGTGCTAACTTTTGCTTAGCTTGGCGAGTTTCGTCACTACTTACATGGTACGTTGAATGTATTCAATCGCTTGAACTGTGTCTCACAAGGAACAGGAAGACGAGGCCGAGAAGCTCATGGCCGATTCGTTCAGCAAGAACTTCATCGACTACGAAGAATACCCTCAATCTGCCGAAATTCAGAACCGATGCGTCAACATGATCGCTCGTTTGTTCAATGCTCCTACAGATAGCGAGGATGACCACCCGATGGGCACCTCCACCGTCGGCTCCTCAGAGGCGATTATGCTGGGCACTCTCGCGATGAAGAAACGGTGGCAGAACAAGCGCAAGGCAGAAGGAAAGGACTGGTCGCGACCGAACATCGTCATGAACAGCGCTGTCCAGGTCTGCTGGGAGAAGGCAGCCCGTTATTTCGATGTCGAGGAGCGCTATGTCTATTGCACGGAGGACCGCTACGTCATCGATCCCAAGGAGGCCGTGGACCTTGTTGACGAAAACACTATTGGTATCTGCGCCATCTTGGGCACAACGTACACCGGCGAGTACGAAGACGTGAAGGCGATCAACGATCTCCTCATCGAGCGTGGCCTCGACTGCCCGATTCACGTCGACGCAGCTAGCGGTGGCTTCGTCGCTCCGTTCATCCACCCAACCCTGCAATGGGACTTCCGCTTGGAGAAGGTCGTTTCGATCAATGTCTCCGGGCACAAATATGGCCTGGTTTACCCCGGTGTCGGATGGGTCGTCTGGCGGTCGCCCGAGTACCTGCCCAAGGAGCTCATCTTCAACATCAACTACCTCGGCGCCGAGCAAGCTAGCTTCACGCTGAACTTCTCCAAGGGCGCATCTCATGTCATCGGCCAGTACTATCAGATGATCCGACTGGGCAAGCGAGGATATCGCTCGGTGATGGTCAACATCACTCGCATCGCCGACTACTTGGCCGACCAGCTTGAACAGCTCGGCTTCATCATCATGAGCCAGCGACGCGGCCGGGGACTGCCTCTGGTTGCTTTCCGTCTGCCCGCTGACCGTGACGAGGAGTTCGACGAGTTCGCGATCGCCCACCAGCTGCGCGAGCGAGGTTGGATTGTGCCGGCTTACACTATGGCGCCGAACAGCAATAACCTGAAGCTGATGCGTGTGGTCGTCCGCGAGGACTTTACCATGAGCCGATGCGACCAGCTTTTGAGCGATATCAAGCTTGCCCTGAAGAGTCTAAAGTATATGGACAAGGCTATGTTGGAGAAGTACACGCAGTATGTTTCTTCCTCTTCCCTCAAAGAATCAATCTAATAGCTGGCAGACATGTTCGCTCGCACTCAACCAAGTCGCATCAATCAAAGCACAACCATCCGCACTACAAGAATGAAAAGCACTCGCTGCAGGGCAAGACAGGCAAGACACATGGGGTTTGTTAGTCTTCTAGGCGTAGTTTGGTCGAATTAGCATGCTTGGCGATCTCCGCCTGTTGGATAGGTTAGCAGGACAGTTTCTTTATTGATATACTTAGCTCTACCTAGTTCTTACCTCTGGCTATTATTAGCCGTGATCCTTGGTCCCTCCGGCGCCATTTCCCCTCCTCAGCTCAGCCGCGACTCGCCCGTAGTCCTGCTAATAATAATATGCCCTTGCCATCACAATCTCGCCTTCAAGGGCGAGAATAATTCTCCTCGTTCGCACAGCCTCGTGATTGCGCCCAATCACCGTTGCTGTCCCACTTGGAGGCCCTCCACTGCTGCTCTGTTTCCCGAGGACACGACACGACACGACAACACTCCCTCATCTGCTCTGAACTCGGAGGTCTCGTCTCTTTCATCCTCAGTCTCTCCCATATCCCGACCCTTCCCTCCTTCCTGCCCTTTATCCGGGCCCTCCCATCTCTCCATGCCCCTCTTCCGCAGGAAAGAGAAGTCGAAGCCGTCCATCTCCTCTCCTGCTTTCCGATCGGTCGAGCATCTTCCTCCTCATCCTCCGTCCTCTTCCTCTTCCGCCGCCCCTCCTTTCGACAGCGACGATAGCAGCAGCAGCACCCAGCACCACCAACACCACCGCTTCCCCGTCTCCACTTCGCAGCAGTTTCCGCCCCATCCCCAGCCTCAATCCCAGTCGCACCACCCGCACACTTATTCGGAATCGCAATCGCAGCCGCAGCCGCAGTCGCAGTCCCAGTCGCAGCCTGTCTATTCCTGGGACGCCCGTCAACCTCCACCACCTCGCAATCCTGCACGGTCCGGTCTGCAGCGCTCTCACACTCAGCGCCTCCGTACACCGCCAGACGTTTCCACGCTCTCCAATTCCAACTCCACCGTTACGGTAGTCACAAACAACCCCAGCCCTTCCTCTTACCTCGAGCCACCGCGGTCCTTCGATGCTGACGTCTCCGACCAGTCCGTGCCTTCATCCCCTACTGATAAGCCAGACGACCAGGAACCTCGACGGTCCAAGCGCAGTCTCTTCTCTTTCCACTCCTCGAATTCATCCACGTCCCTCCGAGACCAGCCAAGCCTGCTGGAGCGGAACCGATCTGTGAAGGTATCCTCCCGACGCCCTCAGCAGCAGCAACAGCAGCAGACCCACCGTCAACAGCAGTCGCCGCAGCTGACGCAACACTCGCGTTCCTCGTTGGATTGGTCGAGGGAGTATGCGGTAGACGCCGCGGAAGCTGAATACCGACCCCCTTCCATGCCGCAGCAGAGCTCCGCTCGTGGCCCTGATCCCGGATTCGCCCCTCACACCCGTTCGCCGCCTCCGCGGTCCAATACCGATCCTCGTCTCGCCGACGAACTTTATCGCCAATCGCCCGTTGAAAACTCTAGACACGGTGCAGAGTTAATTCCTGCAACAAACCAATTGGACCATCGACCCCCTTCCCAACATTCGCTGGGGCCGCCTTCGCCGTACCTATTCCCCAAGAGCGATACATCTTCAGTGACGCAGCTCCCGGCAATGTCAGACCGACCTTCTGGCAGCCACTCACAAAACCAATCCCAACAGCAGAGTGCGAGCCAGAGCAATGCTGGTCAACAGCAGGCTTCCCTCGACCAGGGGCGCGCCACGCCAGCCGCTAAAGACAATCGGACCCGCGACGACCTAAGTGAAGCTGACGTACGCACTATACTTCAGAAGTACGACGAACTACGTAAGTCTACTTCCCCTGGGGAAATTGACAAGTGACCTAATGATCTGTACAGAGGCCAAATACTCCAAGGTGAAAAGGTACTATTTCGAACGGGATGCCCAGGTGCAGCAGCTACAAAACACCGTCGCTCACCAGCGCATGGCCGTTTCACGAACAGTCCTCGATGACAACGAGTACTCCAACCGGTTTGGCCGTCTCGACGGTGCCATCAAGGACCTCGCTTTTTCCATCCGCAAAGACTGGAAAACACTCCCCACCTGGCTCTCTGGGTTCGTCAACGAAGACGCTCCTGCCACTGGCACGAAAGAGATGACCGCCATTGGTCGCTCGGTGATGAGCCACTGGCTCGTAGATGAGGTCTTCGAGCGCTACTTCCACCCGGCTCTCGAACCAGCCTTTAGCCAGCAGCTAAAAGCGATTGAAATGACGCTACGTAGGCAACATACAAATATTGCGACAGACGAAGATAAGGAAAACTCCATTGCCCGCATATCCAACTGGCGCCGCACCACGCTGGACGGTCTCGGCGACTCCCTTCAGGGGCCCGCAGCAGACGAATATCGCGCTGAACTAATCAACCGCCTCGTTGATAACCTCGTCGCTACGCTCGTCAGCTACCTCCACGACCCTGCTCCCCCAGGTATAGACAATGGAGCCCGTATGATTGTGGAAAACGCCGTCGGCATTGCCGAGAAAATTCCCCTCGAGTCGAGAGATATCTGCGTCGAATACATCCCGCCTGGCTCACCCATTCACGACGCAACAATGAAGATTGAACCTGGTGTTCTTCCACCTCTCACTCACGCCGCCAGCCCCTCTGACTCCCGACCCTCCACCGATTTACCCTCCAACCACCACTCTAACGAAAATGGCACAGCCGCCGACAATGACCGCGATACACCACTTCCATCCGCAAGCCCCAATGCTCATGACAATGTTCCTGCACGCGAACAGCGCATGCGCTCTGTCTTCAGCAACATCATGGGTCGCAAACCCGGGCAAGCACCACCGGCTTCGCCTGGGCCTGGCTCTACACCTACCCCTGCTGGCAATGACGTCCGTCGCGGATCCGGAACACCGGCGACAGTACCAGGCTCAGCGCCGGGAGTGGCTGGTCCTGGGTCAGGGACGGGGCGCATCCGGCTTGCGGCGTTCGTTACGGCCGAGGTGCGCGGGCGCGGGCCGATGAATGTCTTGGTAAAAGCCCCTGCTTATCCGATGGAATACTAGGGCTCCGCTTGACTCGCTTCTTCCTTTATGTTGTTTCGGAGTGACACTGGAGCTATAATGTGCGTTTGCGTCCAGTAGTATATATGGATATCTTTTCTTATAAGAGGAACAGCTACTGCGCCAGGCTGGAATGCGGTAGAACTGAATGTACAGATTGGTTAGCCCATGGAATTAAACTAACCTGGCAATATAATGAGGAATGACTTGATTTGATTTACCACGCCGATTCTTGTTCATGATTTACCTACCTGGGTATAAACGGCTCTCATTTTCCTGTTTATCTCTCTCTCATGACCTCATTTCCTACTGCTTTCCTCTAGAGAAGCGAGCCGTATCCTACTATGGTACTTTATATTCATCCTACGTATACCACCCCGCCTCCCATAGGCGGAATGTCAATACATGAGATGTCTATTTGGAGAACATTCCCCATTGTGAGACTGAGAAGTATACACCGTCATGTCTAATTCTATCGCAGATTTCCACTAGGGGGAATGACTGACTGGACCTCACCAACCTACCACCCTCTCGTAGCCTCCTGTCTGTGGGGATGCTTATTCAAAGCAGCTTGGTTCCCTTGCAAGCAGAGCTTGAGCGCTTGGATGACCTGCCGACATACTGAGAGAAAAACGCCTCTGCGGCTGCCGCTGCTCCCTGGACTTGTTCCGTGCCCGTGGTCTAGAGATCCTGCACGCCGGATTCGATCGTTGCGTCGTGCGCTGATCTACCGTATTGCTATAATGCAATGCAATGCATAATGCCGTGTATCTACTCCGTACAGCTAGTCCTCTCCAGTCTGGTCCAGTGAAACGCCACAATAACATGCATTGGGGTACGTGCCTGACATGTCCAATGGACAACGACTCCGTGAAGATTCTGTCCAAGATGCAGAACCGAGTATCGTATACAGTTCCAGTCCACACTCGCTTCGCTGACAAGCCGCCTGCATATTACCGTAGTCAGTCGATCAAAATGACCCATGTTCAGGTTGATTATCTATATCGCCTTTGTTTGCGGCATCCAAGACCTACTGTACGCCGTACCACACCCTCTGTCTAGGCTCACGTATGGCGAGCCAGTGGCAAGGCGCTCAGAAAGATGATTCGGTCGTCTGCCTGGCGGAAGCAATCAGAGGATTCTGGGTACTTGGGTGCTTTTTCCGAATCTCAGGGCTGTGAGCGCAGGTAGGCTTGGGACAGCGGGACTCAATGGCAGGACGGGATGGGATACCTTCTAGATACGTCACGGTGGCGGACCCCGTGTGGCATTTTTTTTAGGTGTAACCCTAGGTACTCTGTTCCCAGTGGCGGAATATTAATAGTAGACGTTAACGCTTAGTGTCCGGCTGTCGATGTCAACTGCGACGAGCAGACGTTGACGATATGTATTTACGTAAGAGACAGCAGGTCTGATTGCTGATTGATGATTTGTTGATGCTTGGATTTTGTTCAGTCTGTTAGTTAAGATCATGTACAGAGTGCTTTGATTAGGTTAAAACATATCCAGTTCAGTTCAACAGTGCAGTTCCAGAAGACTTGAAAGATTCAAGAGTCAAGATTCAAACAAATGCAGTTCAGTTCTATATACTGCAGATAGAGGCACAAGTACAATTTGCAGCAGTAGGCAGATATGTTCAGCTTGGCGCAGGAAACTCACTCACGCAAAAGAAACATGCAACGCTGACGCTAAGCGCGAGTAAAATGACCCGGAGTCAGGTCAAGGAAATAGGTGAATGCTATGCATGTTTGTATGATGATCAAATGATGAAAAGATGCAGGGTATAGCGCCTCGCTCAAACGCCGATGGAAAGACATTTTCCAGAGTAGAAGAAAAAGAAACGGAAAGATGAGAAAAGGAAATGGTTTAGATCCTGACGCCCTGGGCGTGGGCAGCTTGCTGCAGAACTCGGGGCCAGCGCGAGATGAGCTCGACGTCGTCGAGAATGCCCTTGCCCTGGTTGCGGACGTACTGCGTGCTCGGGTCAACGCGGTGTTCCCAGTCCCAGAACTGGGGGGTTCCCTTGATGAGGGCGGAGTAGACGAGGCGGCGGCGACGCTGAGAGCGCAGGACGTCTTGTCGGATGCTCTCGAGGTCCCAGAGGGCATGAACCTCGTCGGTGAAGTAAGCTAGGAGCTTGTTGGGGTCTGTGGTCTCCGGGACGGCGGTGCTGGAAGGCTTGCCTGGGCTCGGGGTGCGTGGGGGTGTAGGGCTGGGGAAGGGATAGTCCCGGATTGGAGTGCGCTGGGCGAAAGGTGTTGCGCGGGGAGACTCAACGGGAGTCGGGAGGGATGCGGACTTGCCGAAGGCAGCAGTGGCGGCTGCTTTGACGTCTGCGGGAATAACCTTTGACGGGTCAGGAAGCCCGGCAACCAGGTTGACCTTCTCGAGCGGGTCGTCCTTGACGTCGAAGAGCATGGGCGGGTCGATCAGGGAGTAGACGAACTTCCAGCGGCCGCGGCGAATCATCACAACGGGAGACTGCGTGCCCTCGCCCATGTACTCGCCCAACACGGTGTCGGTCTTGACGCCGTCTTCGCCGGTGAGATATGGTACCAAGGAGACGCCGTCGAGAGGGAGCTCCTTGATCAGCGGCGCGCCGACGAGCTCGGCGAAGGTCGGTAGGATGTCCATGGTCGAGACGTTCTGAGAAATGCGAGCAGGGGCGAAGCGGTTGGGTGCGTTGACAATGAAAGGTACACGAGCGGAGTTCTCGTACCAAGCCATCTTGTACCAGAGGCCGCGCTCGCCGAGCATGTCGCCGTGGTCGCCGGTGAAGACGATGATGGTGTCGTCACGCATACCGGTGTCCTCGAGGACCTTCAGAAGCTTGCCGACATTGGTGTCAACGTATGTGCAGGCAGCATAGTAAGCGCGACGCGCAGCTTTGATGCGCTCCTCGGGCATCTCTTTGCCCCAGAGGTCAATGCACTTGAGGATGCGCTGGGAATGAGGGTCCTGCTGGTCATGCGGAATGGCGGCGTGCTTGGGAAGAGGGATCTCGACGTCTTCGTATAGATCCCAGAACTCCTTGGTCATGGCGTAAGGATCGTGAGGGTGGGTCATCGAAACAGTCAGGCAGAATGGCTGGTCGGTGCGCTGGCGCACATGATCAAAGAGATACTGCTTCGACCTGTAGATGACTTCCTCATCGAAGTCGAGCTGATTGGTGCGCACAACCGGGCCAGCCTCCATGACTGAGGACATGTTGTGGTAGTAATCAAGACGGACATCCTAATCCAGTCAATATTTCCATACTTTCTCTAGCCTGTTTCGGGAAATAACTTACAGGCTCGTCCCAGTTGACTGACCAGCCGTAGTCGCCGGGGTAGATGTCGGACGTCAGGCGCTGCTCGTAGCCGTGCAGCTGGTCAGGACCACAGAAGTGCATCTTGCCAGCAAGTGCAGTGTGGTAACCTTCGCGGCGCAAGTAGTGGGCGTATGTCGGAGTGTCAGCAGGCAAGTCGGCGGCGTTGTCGTACGCTCCAATCTTGGAGGGCAGCTGTCCAGTCACCATAACGAACCGCGAGGGTGCGCATAGTGGCGAGTTGCAGTAGGCAGAGTCAAAGACAACACCCTCTTCCGCCAGCTTGTTGAGGTTGGGCGTCTTGATGGGCGAATCCTTATCATGAAAGGCCAGAAGGGGAGCAGCCATCTGGTCTGCCATGATGTAAAGGATGTTGGGCTTCCTGGCCGCCATGATGCTTGCTTCTCTCTCGCTGTTAGGTGAATGGTATGTACGAGACAGAGAGAATCGGGGGTAAGAGGAGAAGAGAAGGGCGAAAAGAGGGAGGCGAGGAGTGGTATAAGTAAGTTAGCGTATGTGGGGAAGCAGAGGGAAATCCCATCAAAATGTCACAAGATCATTGATCAGTGATAAGAAAGAAAAAGAAAAAAGAAAAAAGATTCGCCGACCCAGATCTACGGCGAGTATGTCACCGCAACAATGGAACCATCGGCGGAGACGATGGTGTGATTGTAAGAAACGCTTTCGAATCAGCTCCACCAGCATCTCTTGCCATCTTGACGGCGTCCTGAAGACAGAAGGGTGAAGATAAGCCTGACTGCCCGAGGAGCGGTGAAAACGAAGCCATCAAGCGAGGCGAGTTGGAGTCTGGAGATTCTGGAGATTCGGTTGGGAGCGAGACTTACTCTTAGCGCGGAGAGGCAATCAAACCGCTGATACATGTATTTACACGCGTTTGCGGTTCTTATCTATAGTGCTTGCCAGCAAACTGCCTCAAGTCGGCATCAAACAGGCCTCTCCTGCTTCTAGTATGTTCTGTCAGGCTCTATACTTCTTTTCGGCCAGTCAGCAGCAGCAAAAGGCCATACAAGGTGCTCGCGTGTGGTTGCGAAGACCCCGGACTAAGGTTGCCACTAACGGGGCCCGTCTCCAGCTTGTAAGCTTGGCGTCCACCATCCCTGACCATTATCCTCGGACATTATTTTCTTCAAGTTCCAGAACACCACTACCAACCGGCTCATCACGATGATTCATCTTTGAAACAAGTTATCTCAAGAAAGAGCGACCAACAATAACCACCAAGCGGATCATTGTTATGTGTCAGTCCAGTCTCGACCGCGCGGACTCCCAAATCCCAATCCTGCGGGTCGATTGCACCATCCCCGCTAAGGCGCGAGCACGACATCTCCAGCGTTCTTAACCTCACATCCCGGCGCCCGCTCTCCTGAAGATCGTGGAGGATCACCGATGGCGTCGTTTCACCCTGCAGCAGCGTCATGTCCATGTCTCCATGATTACCCCGGTCGCCGCAGCGGAGCACCGACACTCCGGCTCGCCCGGCTTTCTGGGAATGCTAGGCTTAGCACCTCCAGCAAGTTGCTCCAACTCATTACCATCAATATCAGATATCCCTGGGACTGAAAGTTGATCTGCTGCAGATGATCCTCTCGAACCCCGGCGTCCCAATTAACTTCCCGGCTCCGTTCCGAGAAAAGCAACGAGTGCATACTCTGGCACCATTCCACCTCCCGAGCACGCAATCGAGCGCCATCGACATTAGCCACCAATCGCGCCATTCCCCCCCGGACCTTGCATCTTGCGTGGGCCTTGCGTTCGCTACTCCGTCTCTACTCCGTAAGAGGCACTGCAGCAACGTCAGATCTTACGAATGATGCTGGGCGCTTCCTTCTGCTGATATGATTACATCTGATCTGCTCGTCGGAATGCTGGGCGACGGTGCCGGGGGGTCATTCCAGACGTTGCATTGCATTGTCTTGACTCTCGACTGGTTACTTGCCCCGTATTCAATTGCACCATCGCTGACATAGCCTTGAGCTCACCCGCCGCTCACCGTTCTGACTCCTGAGAGGCCATCAGGCTTCTGGAATCCGTCTACTCCGTCTGCTCCGTAGTCTCCGGGGTACATTCTGCAGCGGCTTCATTTCTCCGGGTCAAGGGGGATCCGCTGTTCCGTCCCGTTATCGTTGACGGCTGGACCTCGAACTGATACTATTCATAGGCTCTAGCTTGATTCAAGTAGGGAGGCGCTTATGGGGCTCGTTACGGAGTAAGTATAGCATCCGCGCATATGGAGCACGTCTCCTTATCCTTATCCATGGAGCAGATTGCAGGATGAGAGTACGTATGTTGACTACGTAGAGATCTTACGGTATAGAACAGGTTCCTGTTTCGTGAAGACGTGAACAGTATCTGTCCGTTCGCTCGAACACTGCCTCAGGGGCTTCTAATCCATTTGACGCCGCGGCACCAAGCATTTCCCAAAAACGGGCTGACGTCAAACTCAGTAGTCCGTAGCCATGGTCAGACCACGTTCAACCCCCGTTTCCGGATCCTGATTCCTAAACCTTAAGTGAGTTTGGAAGTATGCTACCGCCTGTGCACACGTGGTAATTAAGGTTGGCTTCAATCTAGTTGAGTTATAGTATCCGCGCGGTTCCGGAGAGAAAAGTAGATATAAAGGCCAGCGCCAATTAAAGGGAAAGGATATTGTAACTGAAATGATCGCTGCTTGACTCCCGCTAAGATTCAAAGTATATACACCGCCACCGGCCACTCACTCCCACTGCTATGATAACAAAGATAGCCTGATGAAGGGCTTTGTGCGGACGCTGCGCTAGGCTCAGTTGTTTGAGTTCGAATGAGGCATCCGAAATGAAATGAAATGGAAGTCCTAAAGGAGCGCCAATAAATCTCCGATGGTCGGCACTGCATTTGCGCGTCTAGACTTCAGCTATCTCGCGTATCTAGTCCACCTTGACCGAGCTGTTCCGGTTAGCATAAGAACCCTCGATGGGACTTGCCAATTCAGTTTGATATGTGGCGTGTTCCGGTGGCTTACCTATAGATCCGACGAATAAACGCATACGCCGTTAGGAACCCAACAGTACCCGTCAACAAGCCGTACACCGCGCAAGCCAGGAAACTATAGCTGAAGAAGAGTAGACTCGACACGAAGCCCGTGATGTGCAAGTGGAAATAGTAGTACCAGATGCAGTACGCGAAGACCCAGAAGGCGCTGCTGCCGCCGGTCAGGAAACTCTGCCACCACCAGTGGTAGTTCTCAGCACAGAGCTGGCTGTACGTCGCGATAATCGTCACCTGGCTGACAGTGATCATCAGGATCGTGGTCACGGCGCTCAGGAAACCAAACACGTAATAGTATCCACTCTTGTCCTGCCACAGGTTCTTAAACACGAAGAGAAGCTCGATAAATAGGACTGCGAACGGAGCTAAGCCGGTAAGAATGGCTCCTGCGACATTTTGCAAGTACCATGGCTGTGGAGGGATCTGGCGCGGGATGGACGAGGTCTTGGTAGGGTGCTCCCAGGGCTTGGCCCGCATATAACCGTACCAGCTGCCGGCGTACACCAAAGGCACTTGGATTAGTAACCAAAGGAACACAATGCCGACAAGTGTGCCGAATGGGATTGCTGTGCTAGATGCCTGGGCCCAGACGAAAAGGTTGAGGATGAAGACGAGGCAGAATGTCAGTCCCGGGAAGAAGAGGGCAGTCTAATCATGTCAGCGGAGAGCAGTATAGCAGGGTAAGGGACCACTTACGATCAGTGTGTTCTTGCGCCAGCTCTTTCCACCGAACGTCTTGTACAGACTTCCCGAGAAGTAACCAGAAAACACACCAGCAAAGACAAACAATCCCGTGCCAACGCTAACGAAGCCGCCTCGGTAACTGGGATTCAAGATACCCAAGCAGCTGAGAATCAGTAATCCAGAAGTCATGAATAGCAGCTGCATTCCAGATCCAACCAAAGGCGCAAGGAGTCCGCTGAACTCCGGCACCCGGAACACGTCCGCATGTAGGAGCTTCCAGCCGCTCACATCGTCCATACCTTCATCATCAGAGTCAAGATCCGCCTCCCTCTCCACGTCCGCAGCCTGGTCTAAAAGCCCCTCTTTCTTGGCAGGGCCTCTCCTGACTTTCCGGTCCTCCATCGCCCCGTCGCCTCGGCCTTTGATATCTCCCTGGACGGTTCTGCTCCAGATAACATAGACCGCGACGCCAAGAACGCCAGAGATTGTCAAAGAGTTCAGAACAGCCAACCAGTGGGTCATCGAACTGTCATCTTGTTTGCTGAAGTAAAGGTCCCATCGGCTTGACCATTCAATCGAATTGTCCTCCTTGAAGTATACCGAGTAAGTGATAGGTATCTTCAATGTAGCCCCATCATCATAATCATCATCTTCCGGTAGGTATGACGAGCCCGGGTACTTCTCCCGGAGGTGTTCCAGGTTCGGCGGGATGTAAAGCTCGAGACCCTCGTGCTCCTCGTGAACGTGCTCAGGGCACCCGTCCGCTCCATGATCCTGGGCACGGATACTCTTTGGGTATACTTCGAATCCAACGACGACCTTGCCTCCTTCGGGCGCCGAGCGCCAGCGAATCACGATGGTAAAATGATTGTTGATGTAGTAGCGCAGTTTTCCGTCAACAGGAGAGAACTCCTGGTATCCCAACTTGAAACCCGATGCGTAATATTTTCGGCGTCGGTCGACGGTCACGAAGCTTGTTGCTCCCGGCAGATTGTCGGCAATCCATTCTGCTACATAGCCTTCCCTGATGAGCTGTCGGCCCCATTTCACGTCTTTGCGCCCGACCTCCGCGGTACACAGCGAAGAACATTCCAGGTTCTTGCCCATTTGGAGCTCGAAGTCCGAGGTCATGATTCGGTCGCCGCGCAATATTTCTCCCAGATTCTGCGAGATGCTTTGTCCAGCACCAAAGGGTGATCCGCCATGTGTTCGTCCGCTAGGGGGGCATACGAAGGGTAGGTCGTAATAAGCATATTGAAGTTGTGTATGATCCGAGAAGATTTTGTTTACGAGCAGTGGGATCGATTCATCATCGTTGTATCGCTTGATTGAGTAGCCTGCGCGACACAGAACGGATCAGCATGCGGAGAAAGAGGTATAGGCGCGGAGGGAGAGCTAACCGGGCAAGTACCACGCGTAGGAGCAGGAGGCGAGTAATATCCATAGCGACCATATATGGGGACAGCTAAGCCATCGCAGCCCCATTTTGACGTGACCAAGACGGAGCAGGCCAAAAGTCCAGAAATTCGAAGGAGTCACCTAACGGTCAACGTGGCGGGTTACCAAGTATGAGAGGCTTTCAGCTAATGGTAGTGCGATCTACAAAAGCGCATTAAAACAGATGCACAGACGAGACAGCAATCAATGCTCCTCTTAGAGATAAGATTGTGCGATATGCGATATCGCTAGGCAAAGGAAAGCACTCGAAGTGTTGCTGGAAGCCGGCCAGAAAACGAACAAATCGAAGGGGTGGTAGATCAGATTCTGGGGAGGTGATTGGATTTGACGAGTATAGGCGCACTGTAACTGATGTATAACGAGTGGACTTGACAATAGATTGTCGGGAAAGTACGGACAGAAGACGAGAAACTGATGAGGACAAAAGGGAAAGGGATGGTTGAATCGTTGATGGTTGTTGGTTAGTCGGGGTCGAGACTTGGCGAAGCCGAGGCCGTCTCACATTCCAAAGCCCCTAACAAACTAAAGGTCTACTCACCAGTCACCAAGTATAAACAGCGAAGCTCAACTTGGCTTCTCTAATACTTTGATGGCCTAATCGACGTAAAAAATGCAATAGCTAGCCTTGTTTCTTGCAATATGGGGCCTTGGTGATGGTTCAAGGCCGCCGCAGTGCTGCTGTTATGCAGCTATATATATTGCTTGGCTGACTTCACATATTACAACCAGCTTATATCTTGAAACATAAGGACTGGTTGATTACCAACCATTTTCATGACATAAGGGAGTTCTTTTTTTGGACAGGATCACATTTTCAAGAGATATTTCTAATTCTCTGAGCCCTCAGATGAGCCCTCAGAACCACTCCGGGAAAGGAGAGCATGAACTAGATATCAAGTTAAGAATTGGTACAGAATCATGCGCATTCTACTGAGCCATGGACTGGAAGGGAATATTACAGAAAGGGTTCTTCAGTCAGAGGGGAGACCACGCCGAGAACCCAGAAAAGAAAGCATCGTAACCGCTAGAAATCCGCCAAATATCCCGAGCAACTAGAAGATGGAATTCACGAGGTATGGCTCAGCAGGTATTCCACCGCGCCCTGTACACTGCCCCCTGATCGACGAAGAGCCTCGATGTTCCGTTCGAATTCGAAGAAACCCATGTCGTTGAGCTGACGCAGTTGGTCCGCGTATCTCTCTTCCGGCGGCCTGTTATCCTGAGGGGCTGGACTGCCGAAACCGCCGCCACCAAACAATGATGCAAATGGATTAACAGCACCACTCTGACCCGCAGGGCCTCCCAGAGACTGCATCAACTGTTCCATCAACGCGGGGTTGCGAAGAATGGGATTCTGGTCAGGGTCGAAAGGATTCGCACCGGCACCGATGGGATTGAAGAGGCTGGGAGGAGGTCTATTTTGCTCTGATGCAGCACCACCTCCAGTTGATCCTGTCGAGTCTGTTTGCCCGGCTCCAGGCTGACCAGCCTGGTTCCCTCCGAAAAGAGCGGCGAACGGATTGCCAGCGCCAAGACCCTGCTGCATAAAAGGGTTGAAAGCGGGGAACGGAGGAAGAGTGAGATTGGCACCATTGTCGTTGTTGCTGTTGTTGCCTTGCTCATTCCTATTATCCTCGGGCGTTGTGTTGGTAACCCCTGGGGCAGGGAAAGCAGCATTGCCACCACCAAGGCCTCCCATTGCTCTTTGCATTTGCATCATTTGGCGCATTGTACTAGGATCGGTCATCATACGACGGAAACTGTCACTCTGTAGCATTTGGCGGGCCCCAGGGTTATCACGCAAGAGGGGGTTCGACTGGATCATTATATCGATCATGTCCGGATTCTGTAGAGCTTCGTTCATCATGGACTGGACTTGGGGATCCTCAAGCATATTCAACATCGATTCGGCATCGGGAGGGGGCCCCATCTAATGAACATCAGAGTGTTAGTAGGTTGCTTCGTGCACTTGGAACGAAAGCTCACTTACCCCTCCATCTGGGCCAAACATGCCAGCGCCGGGAAGTTGCGCAAATCCAGCATATCGTGCGCCGGTCAGACCAGCAAGAGGGTTGTTCCCTGTGCCAGCGGCCAAGTTCGTTGGGACTCCGGTGCTTGCTGGGTTTGGCGTGCTGCTGCTTGACGTTGGGGTCGCAGCCGCGGGCGGACGCTGTTGGTTGCTAGCGGCGCTCTTTACGAGGTGGATAGTATGTCCGTCTTTTATCTTGTAGGTCGCTAACGTATCGTTGTCTTTTAGGACACGTCCAGAATATATCAGGCGCTGGCGCTCTGCTGGGGTGTCGGCATATTCCGACGAAGATAGCTTCTCCTTCAGCTCCGACACTGGCGTTGAAACGGGCAATGTGAGCGTAAACTTCGCATCGTTTGAAGCCTTGATGTTGAAGGTGATGGGCACATCCTCCGCCGTGGCGGTATCGTCGGCCATGGTCCAAGTGTTGTGTTGGTGTTGATGAGGGGCGATGTTGAGGGGATCCGCCGCAACAGATCACGTCACAAGCTGTAGCAAGGACAACGGGATGCCGATTATGTAGCTTGAAGCAAAAGGAACAAAAAAGAGTCACTGGACGAAAGTCTCAAGGAAGAATAATACGATGAAGATTGGATGCTAAGGCAGAAGTCTGTAGCCTTAGTAACCTACTAACGGACGATGCCAACCGTCGCTGCGCTCCAAGAGAACCCGGCGGAACCCCATCGTCATAAGGACCCAGTGCGTCACGTGAGCTGCCAAACAGAGCAAACACGCGCTTGACCTCAGCTTCAAGCTCCACACTGCAATTTTTCACCTTCGCGTTCTCAACCTCAAGCTTGCAGCTCCCTCCTACCTCACCTCACCTCACGAGGATACCCTCGTGCTCGAGTGTCCTCCTACTTGCTGGCTTTCTCGGCAGCAATGGGAGCACTTTCACTATAAAGTCATCCAATATTGGCTGCAATCGCATCGTAACCATCCTTGATTCCCCGGTCCGGTCGAGCCTCGACGGCCTAGTCGCCCATCATGGCTACCACTTCGCATATGTTTATGTACTCCCTGACGATCCAGCCGCCAACTGCGATCACGCAGGCCATTCTAGGCCAGTTTGCGGGAACGAAAGAGCAGCAGATCGTCACCGCGTCCGGGTCGAAGCTGACCATCCACCGCCCCGATCCTACTCAGGGCAAGGTCACTCCGCTGTACTCTCAAGATGTCTTTGGCATCATTCGAACCCTGGCTGCCTTTAGGCTGGCTGGTAGTAACAAAGGTATGTTCTTACGTTCCCCTCAGCGAAATTCCAAGATCATTTTAGTGATTCGTCAAGCTTCCCGGGCAACATGATCCTTCAATGCCGAACGAGTGCTCTTGAGGCGGGACGTGGCCCGGTCGATGAAGTGGACGCTCGTGGGCTCGATCAGTGCTGAGATCTGCTTATAGATTATATAATTATTGGGTCGGATTCCGGGCGCATCACCATCATCGAGTATGTACCCTCACAGAATCGATTCAACCGGATTCACCTTGAGACGTTCGGCAAGTCGGGCGTGCGTCGTGTCGTTCCTGGCCAGTATTTGGCGGTCGATCCCAAGGGCAGAGCATGCCTTATCGCATCAGTGGAGAAGAACAAGCTTGTTTATGTTCTGAATCGAAACTCGCAGGCCGAGCTTACGATATCATCTCCGCTGGAAGCGCACAAGCCGCAGACCTTGGTGTTCTCCATAATCGCATTAGATGCTGGGTATGAAAACCCTGTCTTCGCTGCCCTTGAAGTGGACTACTCCGAGTCTGACCAGGACCCAACGGGTCGGGCCTACGAAGAGGTTGAAAAACTTTTAGTATATTATGAGCTCGATCTTGGCCTGAACCACGTCGTCCGCAAGTGGGCTGATCCCGTCGACCGCACATCGTCGATGCTCTTCCAGGTGCCTGGTGGAGCCGATGGCCCTAGCGGTGTTTTGGTCTGTGCCGAAGACAATATCACCTACCGACACTCCAACCAAGATGCTTTCCGGGTACCTATTCCGCGTCGCCAAGGTGCAGTGGAAAACCCTGAACGCAAGCGATGCATTACCGCAGGTGTGATGCATAAAATGCGAGGCGCGTTTTTCTTTCTCCTGCAGACCGAGGATGGAGATCTCTTCAAGCTCACCCTTGATATGGTCGAGGATGACAATGGCCAGCTCACCGGGGAAGTGAAAGGACTGAAGATCAAGTACTTTGATACGGTTCCCCTGGCTTCGAGCTTGCTGATTCTCAAGAGCGGTTTCCTCTATGTCGCCGCCGAGGGTGGAAACCATCACTTTTACCAGTTTGAGAAACTCGGCGATGATGATGAGGAGACTGAGTTCAGCAGCGACGATTTTTCAGCAGACCCCACTGCCCCTTATGAGCCTGTCTATTTCCAGCCTAGGGGAGCGGAGAACCTGAACCTCGTGGATGCCATCAACTCCCTCAATCCGTTGGTTGATAGCAAGATTGTGAACCTTTCCGAGGATGACGCTCCTCAGATTTTTACAGTCTCTGGCACGGGAGCTCGCAGCACTTTCCGGACGCTGAAGCATGGCCTGGAAGTTTCGGAGATCGTTGAATCCGAACTTCCTAGCGTACCGTCAGCCGTTTGGACTACAAAGCTAACCAGGGCGGACGAGTATGATGCCTATATTGTGCTCTCATTTGCCAACGGCACCCTCGTCCTAAGCATCGGTGAGACGGTGGAAGAAGTGACCGACACCGGTTTCCTTTCGTCAGCACCTACGTTAGCTGTTCAGCAGCTTGGCGAGGACTCCCTTATCCAGATCCACCCTCGCGGTATTCGCCATATTCTCGCCGATCGACGGGTGAACGAATGGCCAGCGCCGCAACACCGTTCCATCGTGGCCGCCGCGACCAACGAGCGTCAGGTTGCGGTCGCCCTCAGCTCTGGTGAGATTGTGTACTTCGAGCTGGACGCTGATGGGTCGCTCGCTGAATATGATGAACGGCGCCAAATGACAGGGACAGTGACATGTCTCAGCCTTGGCGAGGTGCCGGAAGGTCGCATGCGAAGCTCGTTCCTGGCTGTTGGGTGTGACGATTCGACGGTTCGCATTCTGAGCCTGGACCCGGATTCGACATTAGAAAACAAATCCGTCCAAGCGCTGACTGCCGCACCATCCGCTTTGAACATCATCCCGATGGCTGACTCCAGCTCCGGTGGAACCACCATGTATCTACATATCGGTCTTCACTCCGGTGTCTATCTGCGAACAGCCCTCGATGAAGTAACGGGCGAACTATCCGACACGCGAACTCGCTTCTTAGGGTCCAAGGCTGTCAAGCTCTTCCAGGTTTCTGTAACGGGGCAGACGGCCGTGCTTGCCCTGAGCTCGCGTCCTTGGTTGGGATACTCCGATACCCAAACTAAAGGCTTCATGCTTACTCCTCTGGATTATGTCGGACTCGAGTGGGGCTGGAACTTCTCGAGCGAGCAGTGTGTCGAGGGTATGGTAGGTATTCAAGGTCAGAACCTAAGGTATGTGTCATTTTTTTTTTTTTCCTTCATTTATCCCTGTTTTACGTGATCGTATGATGAGAACGGAAAATTTCCTGAAAGTCCATGTGGATTATCATTCTTTCTTTATACTCCAATTGTTCCTACTGAGATCGCAATTCCTCTTCACGATGCATTCTATGAGAGACGCCGTGTGATCATTTGCTAACATTGGCGACTAGGATCTTTTCTATCGAGAAACTGGACAACAATATGCTGCAACAATCCGTACCCTTGGCCTACACGCCACGTCGGTTCTTGAAACACCCGGAACAGCCTCTGTTCTACGTTATCGAGGCTGACAACAATGTTCTGTCTCCTGCAACGCGGAATCAGTTGCTCGAGGACTCCAAGTCTCGTGGCGGCGACACAACAGTTCTGCCCCCTGAAGATTTCGGATACCCTCGCGGTACAGGCCATTGGGCTTCTTGCATCCAAGTGATCGACCCACATGCGAACGCTGTGGTTGGGACGGTAGAGCTCGATGAGAATGAGGCGGCTGTCAGTATTGCTGCTGTTCCTTTCACCAGTCAAGATGACGAAACCTTCTTGGTGGTGGGAACTGCAAAGGACATGACTGTCAACCCACCTTCTTCATCGGGTGGGTATATTCACATCTATCGATTCCAAGAAGATGGAAAGGAGCTGGAGTTCATCCACAAAACGAAAGTTGAGGAGCCTCCTCTCGCGCTTCTTGGCTTCCAAGGTCGTTTAGTGGCCGGAGTTGGATCCCTGCTCCGAATCTACGACCTGGGAATGAAGCAGTTGCTCCGAAAATGCCAGGCTGCCGTTGTCCCGAAAGCCATTGTTGGTCTTCAGACGCAAGGTAGTCGTATCGTGGTCAGCGATGTCCGTGAAAGTGTCACATATGTCGTGTACAAGTATCAAGAGAACGCCTTGATTCCTTTCGTCGATGACTCCATCCCTCGATGGACCACCGCAACGACCATGGTGGATTACGAGACAACAGCCGGAGGTGATAAGTTCGGCAACCTCTGGTTGGTCCGGTGCCCGAAGAAGATCTCCGAGGAGGCAGACGAGGAGGGCTCAGGTGCTCACATGGTCCACGACCGCGGATATCTCCAGGGCACCCCCAACCGCCTGGAACTGATGATCCACCTCTTCACCCAGGACATCCCCACCAGTCTGCATAAAGCTCAACTGGTAGCCGGTGGTCGTGATATCCTAGTGTGGACAGGATTCCAAGGCACGATCGGCATGCTGGTGCCTTTCGTCGGCCGCGAGGACGTCGACTTTTTCCAAAGCCTGGAGATGCAACTGGCGTCACAATGCCCGCCACTTGCTGGACGGGATCACCTCATCTACCGAAGCTATTACGCACCGGTGAAGGGGGTCATCGACGGAGACCTGTGCGAAATGTACTTCCTTCTGTCGAACGATACGAAGATGATGATTGCTGCGGAATTGGATCGCTCAGTACGAGAAATCGAGCGAAAGATTTCGGTACGTTACTTCCTATTCACCCCCTCCGTCCATTGTACTGACTTTCCATAGGACATGCGAACAAGAGTGGCCTACTGATTTAGCGAATGCGGCGTTGGCGGGCGTCGGTCCACCTACTCTTGCCTTATTTACTCATATTCAATCTAATTGTATACCACCTCTCTCCTGGCCCGGTCTAGTACCATGTGTACCAGCAGCATCGAAGCTGGATGTAGACACCACACCACACTGCAACATGTCTCCTGCCTCGCTCGGTCTTCCTCCCTCCTTGTTTGATCTTGAGCTGGATGCAGCCGTCCAATACGTTGGACACGCTGTACGAGACGAGAAGAAGGCTCTGCCGTCAACGATTTTTGAGTACGATTTTTCCCGCTATGCCACGGGTCTCATCGTAATTTATAGTTGGGACAATCAATTATTTATTTAGCCTTTGTAGTAATGATATCTTTGCTGTGGGAATAGTTTGTTGTTGTCCTCTCGTCGGATAGATTTTCGCCGGTTTTGCCTTGTTTGGCGAACTTTGCGAGAGCCTCCACTATGTAAGTTTATTAAGACATGAACGGGGGAGCGGATCTTTAGGTTCAGGTTCATCCTTAACCTCCAGCCGGGGGAATATCTCTCCGACTGTGGCTATCATCTGTCCTGTTGATCATAAACTTGAGAGCTACGACTCTGGACCGAACCTTCGGTCATACTCATGGCCTGCCCGCCTACCACCTGCAACAAAAGAGAACTTTCCAACCCCAATGGCGCACACCACATTGGCACCCCAGGGTGGTGTCCTTCGCGCAGCGAGTAGGTCTTTCTTAAACAGGTGTCAGAACAAGCACTTACTCGATCGCTAGGTAAGAATGAACACCGGTACATTACGCGCCATGCATTGGGCTTCTATCGTGCCCTTACAATGACCGGTCTATACACTCTGGACCTTGATACAGGCCTATCCACATCAGAGAGCTCAGAGTACGTTGACATGACAATACCCGATACGTATATCCCAGCATTGAAATGGTGCATTGCTGCGCATCCGATCCTGCGAACCGGTATTCAGGGCCAGGACGGTGAGGAGCCGGTGTTTGTGCGTGCGCCTAAGATGGACTTGCGGAGACATGTTAGGGTTGATTGTTCGATCATGGATGGCGGTGTGAACCTTGATGGGAAAAGCGAGGTTGAAGCGCTAAGACGGGTTTTGTTGAGGGAACATGATGAGGGCTTTGAGGGTGTTGAGAATGTTCCACCGTGGAGGGTTGTTGTTGCTCCTTTGCCGGTGTCAGACATTGATGGTTATCAGAGAAATGATGCGAGGAGGAAGGCTAAGGCTTATATCATTTTCGCATACTCGCATTCGCATGGAGATGGGCGCTCTGGTCTTGTTTTTCACAGGGCATTCCTTGAGGGACTGAGAGGGGCGCATCGGGTCTATGATAAGGGGTATGAGTACGCTACTACGATTGATCACCAGGGTTCAGTGTCGGAGGTGGAGTACCAGCTGCCGCCGCCACTGGAGGAGGCTTGTGCTCTCAGAATTACCTGGTCATATCTCCTGCTGACTCTTTTCGGAGCGCACTTACCTGCATTTGTGAGCAGGTGGTTTGGTTTTCAGACGCCTGCTGTCACCGAGGGGACCTGGACCGGGGAAGTGATGATGCACGATTCCGAGAGTTTTCGAACGGGGGCAGCGATTCTCATTGTAGAGGAGAGGCGGCTCGACACTGTGCTGAAGACTTGCAGGGAGAAAGGAGGAGCGAGGTTCACTGGGTTGCTGAACCAGCTTGTGGTGCGTGCTCTCAGCGGCGCGCTTTCCGCCCACACCTTTGCATCTGAGGCGTCTGTCAACAACTTCATCGGCCAGATAGTCATTGATCTTCGACGGCTGGTTCCTGCATACTCAGACGATATGATGGTGAACTGTGTTTCTGCTGCATCTGAGTGCTCCCCTCGAGTTCCTGATGACCAGGACGAGGATCTGAGAAATAACGCGGCGTTCTGGGATGCAGTTCGCCAGACAACATTGCGCTTAGCGAGATCCTCGAGCACGCTCGTCGACCAACCCATCGGCCTCCTCAGGTATCTGGATAAATTCCGTCCGTGGTTCTTGGAGAAGCTTGGGAAGCGGCGGGACTCGTCGTATGAGATTAGCAATGCGGTTGTGTTTGATCCTTCGCCGGGCCATAAGTCCACTTCCGTTGAGAGCAACAATCGGAAGGAAGAGGTGAAGATGGATTGGAACATTGAGCGGATGGTGATGTCTCAGCCGGCGAATGTGACGGGCTGCCCGTTGAGCTTTTCGGTAGTGACGAGGAAAGGAGGAGATATGGCCTTGACGCTAAATTGGCAAGTTGGTGTCCTAGGGATTGAAGATGAGGATGGATTCGCTGAGGATGTGTTGAAAAGGATTGATGGGCTTCTGGCTGGGATTGCGGGCGTGTAGGTGGATGCTAAAGACTGAGTGGCTGGGGTCGCAGGTACCAGTACCTACATGAGGTCGACTTGGCTTTCACAACTGCTCCTTCCTGTTCTCTGTTAAGTCAATACCCCAGACCATTTATCTAGATTCTATGGCGAGATCTTCTCCCCAGACAGAAGAAGATGAAAGACTGTCCATCGGAGGTACGATCCGAGCCAACCAAGCCTGCGACTCCCATAGACACACGCTATCACGAGGTGCTATAGGTACTGCTCAATCGAGGTCTAGTTGTTCGAAGCCTTCCCACGAACGAGCGACGATGACTGGCCAGCATATCTATTCTGACATCTGTCCACGCCGAGATATAGATTCCCAATCCGAACTATAGGTAGGCGAATACAATGCCCGGATGAGGCTCGGTTTTGGTACGGCCGGAATGCTGTCTTCACGAGTGGCTCGGTTATCCGCGGAGACTGAAGAGTTCCAGTACAGGTATATCCATGGAAATCACCACGCGGCGTGCAACTGATCCAAACTTGTCAAGCGAGATGGCTTCCAATTCCAAGGGATTCGGGGTACTCCGTATCGGAGACGTATACGCACAGCTGAAGATGTGAGTCAGGGTCTATTTTAGCAATAGAAGGCGGCTCGTGTTCATTGGAGAAGGTATGCATAGAATACCCTGCCAAGCGCGCTCCGAGATCGGTCGGGAATGCGGCATGAAGGTTGGCGAAGGCTTGAAGAGGAGGATGATGGCTCGCCTGGAATGGAAGTACATTGGAGGGGATGTTGCTGGAAGGCGCCTGGCGGGCAAACTGGGCGAATCAGAGGACGACCCGAGTTGGGATTGCTAGTGCTGCCAAAGGGCGTGCAATCAACTCTCCCTCCACACAGTCATCGGTCCACTCCTTCTACTCCGTATAACAGCCTCCGCGGAATAAGTCCACGCTGAAGGATCCGGTCTATGCTCGGCAGAAAGAAATGCATTTGTCAGAGGAGAATACGAAGCCACAGAATCACGACTGCCCGCGTTGAACGACTGATTTCTCAGCAGGCGTCATTCTTCAGCATGGCCGGGTTCTCCATTGGCCCTCTCCAGCTGTCAATCCAAGGGCGCGCTTGATCCACTACAGGAATCGACGTTGACTCACGGGTACAAAGGTACAGGTATAAACATCTCCGCACCGACTGTCTGACTCCGGGGAATTATCAGGATCTCTACAAACACCTCCGAGTATAACTACACAATCACCCCTCGGGGATTTTCTCCCTGTTGTCTCTGACTTGACAAGGCATACAGTCTCCAGCTGCTCATGGCCGCCTCACTCCTTACTGTTGGCCCCAGGGCTGCCGATGTGTTGTATCCCTTTGCAAGTCCTCAGATCAAGATCGAACTCGCTCGTGAGACCAGCAATGTGACCAGGGCCTACACCACCGGAGACCTCATCGAAGGAACGGTCACCATCACCGCGAACCATCTGATTAGCTTTGATCAAATTGACATCCAACTGGAGGGTATGCTACTGCACGCAATGGAATTAATGCAGCAAGGTACTAACTGCGCTGACCAGGATCCCAAACCGTTTTTGTGGAACATGGCGCGATGCCTGGCGGCACAGGAGCAACCCAAACATTCCTGAGACTACGCCAACCCATCGAGGAGTCCTGCTATCCCATGCCGCGCGTCATCGAGCCTGGCCACAGCTACCAGTTTCCCTTTACGTTTGTCGTTCCTCAGCGTCTTTTACCGCACATCTGCAGCCACTCCAAGTCCAACGTCCACATCCAACGCTCCCACACCCTTTTGTTACCAAGCCTGGGCGACCCCGTCCTCTGCAGAGATGGAACGTCGGCATTGGACGACATGTCGCCTGACATGACGCGTGTTACATACCACATCCGGGCCGAGGTGGTACAAAAACCCGTCGTTGGCCCCGCAAAATCCCTGAAGTTAGCCAAGAAGAAGATTCGCATTGTCCCAGCAGTCGAGGAGGAGCCTCCCCTGACCGTTCCCGACTGCGACCCGATCTACCGCATGCGAAGGGAAAAGGATGTCAGGCGCGGAACTCTGCGCCCGCGGCAGGGACGCCTCGTTGCAGCCGCCTCCCAGCCCAAGCCATTGCAGCTGAGCTCTTCTCCGAGCAAGCACTCTGAGTCGGTGAGCACGGCTGCTACCATTCATCTGCGCTTCGACCCCGTGGGGAATGAAGAACCGCCCAGTTTGGGGACTGTCTGGAGCAAGCTGCGTGTTGCGACCTATTATTCCGTACACCCTTGGGGGGATTATCCGACCATTTCGGGTCTTTCTGCTGTGGACATGTCGGGACGGGGGGTATACCAGGAACTACTACCGTTGTCGACCATGTGTGTGGCCTCTGCGCAGTGGACTAAGCACGGCATGGATCCCCTTGTCCGTCGAGATTCGTTTCACTCAACATCTTCCGCCGAGTCTATTACTGGCCCGTCGGCCTCGTTCTCTGGAGATGTTTATTATACCGCCTCATTAGTTGTTCCGGTTTCTCTCCCAACAAGCAGAGCGTTTGTCCCGACCTTCCATTCGTGCCTCGTTTCTCGCATTTATATCCTCGAACTTTGCGTCTCTTATCACACCCCGAATATGAACCTCCTCACGCCGACTGTGACCTTGAAGGTCCCTATCCAGCTGACCTCTGGTCAGTCAGGGATAGTTTCGATGACGTCATCTGAAGATATCACGCAGGAGGAAGTCGACGCTGAGTTCTTCAGCCCGCGCAGTGTTGCTCCTCAATTAGTGGACTCGGCAGTTGCTCCGCCTGAGTATTCAGATTATACGTCGCCGTCGCTCAGCGCAAGACCTCAGGAGGTGCGATGTTCTTGAACTTCAAAAGTGCTTTTTATCTGGCGTTTGGGATTTGATACCCGGCTGAGAAATAATGAGTGATGCTATGTCATGTTATAGAGATCTAGATGACCATTAGTCCTACAGTAATCCCTGATAATGTCTATGTTATGCATTTCCGTGTTGTCCCACTCTACTATACTAGAGTATTTACTGAACTCCATCTGATCCGTCTTGACACTGCTGATATGGATCTGTGACTGAGAAGTAGGAGATGACCGTCCTCACTTATATCCCCCAAGCCCAGTGAATAGCTTATCTCCCAGCTCTAAACTTGAAGTGAGGGCCCACCTGATGGCCAGCATTCACTGTTGGTGTTACCTCAATGTTTGCCTTGGCTGTGTTTCGACGAAAAGTGAATTTATACTTCACTTAACTCTATACAAACCTGTTTCCCTCCAACTATAAATCTCCCTTTCTCTTCCTCGAACATTTGATCTCTCCATCCTTTCTCTCTTCCCTCACCCACCATCCTCGCTCTCCTCTTCCTCAACCCGCTCCCCAATCTTCAAGATGAAGCTCCTCAGCCTTCTTCTGTCTTTCTTCGTCCTGGCTTTGGCCCAGGCTTCCGCGATCCCGTCGTTTTATCACCGTCTACACTCGACTTTTGGCTCTGTCCGTCCCAATTCTACTCATCTGAACTCAACCTTCAGCAACAACACTGGCCACGCGCACGATAATGCCACCGGCTATGGCCCCATCGCAATTCCCGACACTGGCACCGAGGAAACTGAATACCGCTCCATGTCTTACTTTGTCAACTGGGTACGTCTCCTGCCCCTGTGTCTCGCTCCAAGGATTCCCAACTAACACAACCCTCTCAAACAGGCAATCTACGCGCGCCACCACAACCCGCAAGATCTTCCAGTCTCCCACCTAACACACATCCTCTACGCCTTCGCCAACGTACGTCCTGAAACCGGAGAGGTATACCTCAGCGATACCTACTCTGATCTCGAGAAACACTACCCCACCGACTCGTGGAATGACGTTGGAAATAACAATGTCTACGGCTGCGTCAAACAACTCTTCCTTCTGAAGCAGCAGAACCGTCACCTCAAGGTCCTCCTTAGTATTGGCGGCTGGACGTACTCGAAGAACTTTGCGAATATGGCGAGCACAGAGACTGGCAGGAAGATGTTTGCGTCGACCGCGGTCAAGCTTATGGGCGATTTGGGTATGGATGGGCTTGATATTGATTGGGAGGTAAGTTTCCTGCATCCGAGCAATAAAGATGGGGTTGAGTGAGGACTAACACTCTGCAGTACCCAGAAAATGACCAGCAGGCCAGCGACTTTGTCGAGCTGCTGCGTGAGACTCGAGAGGTACGTCTACGCCTTCATTACACCTTAGCGAAAGAGAGACCCCTAACATCCTCAAAAGGAACTCGACCGCTACGCCACCGCAAACGGGAACGGCAAGCCCTTCCTCCTGAGCGTCGCCTCCCCAGCCGGTACGTACCGTACCATCAATCTCCCCACACCCTCCATACCCTACTAACCCTAACTCCAGGCCCAACCCACTACAACACCCTGCACCTCGCCGCAATGGACCCCTACCTCACCTTCTGGAACCTAATGGCTTACGACTACAGCGGCAGCTGGGACACAATCACCGGGCACAACGCGAACCTCTTCGCCTCGTCCACAAACCCCACCTCCACGCCCTTCAACACCAACGACGCAATCTCCGCGTACCTCGCCGCCGGCATCGCGCCCGCAAAAATCAACCTGGGCATGCCGCTCTACGGCCGCGCCTTCACGCACACCGACGGCCCCGGCACCGCGTTCGAGGGCGTCGGGTACGAGGGCTCGTTTGAGGCTGGCGTGTGGGATTACAAGGTTCTTCCGAAGGAGGGGGCGCAGGTTACCGAGATGGCGGATCTAGGGGCGAGCTTTAGCTATGATGAGGGCAAGCGGGAGTTTGTCTCTTTTGATAGTCCCGAGGTTGTAAGGGCCAAGGGCGCGTATTTGGAGAATTTGGGGCTTGGTGGTGGGATGTGGTGGGAGTCGAGTGGGGATCGCGAGGTTGGGAGTGGGGGCAGTTTGATTGAGACGGTGAGTTTGCCCTAACTTCACTTACCTATCTTTTCTCTATCCTGTGGACTCCATGCCGTATATAGGCTTGAGTCTGAACTTTGAGGTATGCATGCTAACGGTGTTACAGCTTGTCGATAGCCTCGGCGGCGTGGAAGCCCTCGATAAATCCGAGAACCAGCTCGACTATCCCTCTTCGCGATTCGAGAATCTCCGCAATGGATTCGCTTAAATCTCTCATGGATACATGGAAAGAGCAAGATCTATCAGTTTTCAGAATAGATGGGTATGCAAGTGCATATTAGAGATGTGTCTTACTAGATAGTGGCACGTCAACGCGAGCTAAGTAGAGCCGCGATATGAAGAAACGTCTCTTATTTATGACAATAGCTACAATCAAATCGATTTTATTTGACTTAGATTGCTTCCAAAAGTAATTGAAATAAAAACAGCTTTAGATCTGCTATATGACGACCCAACTTTTACATAAATACAAACGATATCTAGATAAATACTGTAGAAGCAAGAAACGAAGCAGGTGACGCGACCTATAGTATATGCAACACCTCCAAACGCCCTGAACAAAAGCGAGCAAAAACGTCTCGCCCAGTTCACCCGAACCAAGCACAGCACAGCAACAACCAGCCAAGAAGAGCAAGGAGGAGGAGAAGATGAAAGAAGGCTAAGTCAACATATCATCCAACCTCTCCCCCAACACGCCCTCAATCTGCTTAACCCACTTCCGCACCTCGCGCTCAACCCCCTCATCCTCATCCTCCATAAGCTCACTAATATACGGCAGCATCTCCGGCAACAGCGCAAGCCAGTCTTCACCAAGGTGCTCAGTGAGCGCCTGCTCGGTCTTGAGCGCCGCGATCCTGGTATGCGGGTTATCGCCGCCGGGGGCGCTCTTCTTGCTCACGTTACCTGAAAGGGAAGCGCCGGACGGACGCAGGAAGCGCATCAGGACGGCGTTGAGTTCCTTATGGTTGTCTGTTGAGTCGGCGGCGACGGCGAGCTCGGTGATTGTGGGGATTGTTTCGGTGGCGATGAGGGTTGCGGTTGCTGTGGAGGTGGCGTGGCGGAGGTGCGAGATTAGCGGCGTGGAGATCTTGGTGATGTGCGAAGGGGATTGCCAGAATTCTGAACCATGTTAGCGTTTCATTTTGTTTGTCTGGATTTGGGCAGGGGGGTAGGTACCATCCTGGTCGTGCTCGAACGCGCTGCGGAGCATGCGCATTGTTGCGAGCCAGAGGGGTTTCGTGTTGGGGTTTGAGGGGCTGGCGGTGCTGAGCACGGAGACGACGCTTTCGATTATGTAGCTGGCGTAGCTGGTGACGATGGACTGGACGATTGTTAGGGTGTGATCTCAGTTAGGAGTGGATGTGAGTATTGTCTTACCTGGAGAGTACCGAAGAAGACCTGCAAGAACCGGTAGAGCGTAGTCAATCGCGCCAAGGCGCCCTGGGTATCCTTCTTCGGGAGCCCAGTGGCCCAATCGACGAGCCTGGCGAAGATGGGACGGAAGGTTGTGTCGTTAAGCTTGTAGATCATCTTGATCGTGACGTCGTTAACGAGGTCTTCCATTTCCTCGAGGTCGGAAGTGTCGAATGCCGACTTAGGAGACTGCGCCTGCTCTCGGCGGAGGTCGAATACCCGGAAGAGGATCGTCGTCAGAACGGACAAGTTCTTCATTGTCGCGGACTTGGGGTGCTTCTCGATGCTGAGGCTGACGGCTTCCAGGACCTCACGGGTAGCGGAAGGTCCGGCCGAGACAGCCTGCGTCCAGTTTCGGTCAATGGAGGCAAATGCCACCCCCATGTCGACCTTGCGGGCCATGAAGCGCAGCGCCTCTTGGCGTTGGTCATTGTCGAGGTCTTCTTCAGATGAGGCTGATTTGAAGGAGAGCACGAGTAGGCGGTCGAGGTGGGAGGCGGAGACCATGTAGGGGAGGTGGACGAAGAGGGCAGAGAAGAGAGTGAAGATTGCATCATGAAGTCTGGCATTGACCTTGTTGTTCTCTAGACTCAACTCCAACAGGGCAAGCGAGCGGCTGAGAACTTCTGGGAGAGCAGGGATCATGGCCTGGCCAAGGACCTCTACCATGGAGGCTAGGCACAGCACGCCGTTGATGCGGATGCGGTCGTCTTCCTGGCCAATACAGGCTGCGCTGGCAACAACTTGCGCGGCGGATGTAACCATGGATGGCTCCTTCTTGCCGTACTTTTCTGTAATGCGGTCGATGCAAGTCACCGCAGCGTGCTTGAGCAGAATGTCGGAGGATGATTGCACTATATCCACGAGGACAGTCAGGAATTCAAGCATGCGCATCTGGGAGGCACCGTCTCGCTCAGGGCTCTGCTGCAGGCGGGCGGCAAGCAGGCTGAGGACCTTCCGGCGAAGAGCATCATCAGGACGCTTGAGTAGAGCCTCGATCGTATCAAGGAAGTCGATTGTTGTAAGGGTGCTGAACAGGCCGCTGAGCACATCACCAGCAGCCTGGTGAACGGGCTTGACGTTCTGCATAGATTCGCCGATGGCCAGGACTTGCTCAAGGATCTTGGAGAACAGCGCGCGGATCCGCTCTGCGTCTCCAGTCTCCGTGGTAAGCGCTCTAGCAATCTTGACCTTTAGCGAGGAGTGCTTGAAGAGGTAGGCCAGAGCGCGCAAGAGATCAACAGCAACCTTATGAGGCTCGCGGCCATCATCGCTTCCGATACCGAGGAGAACCTGGGAAATGGTGGGCTTCGGCTTGAGCGCGTCGGCCACCAGGTTGAGGAATTTGCTGTAGGTAGACAGTTCCACTGGCGCAGTAGCATCGGAGACAAGCCCAGTCATCAGGACTAGAACTGCCTTGTCCATTGAGTAACGGTTGGCGAGCATTGCCAGGACGGCAAACAAGAACTCCTCCGTTCCGAGTTTGGTAATCAAAGCATGGAACAGGCGAAGGCGACGATGAGAGGGAATGTGCTCAAAAGCAGCAGTAAAACTGAGCAAGAGCTCTGATGTTCCGGACACAACATCGCGCTTCTGGTGTCGTAGCGACTGGATGAGAGCGGGAACAACCTGGTCGATTGTCTGATCAATAACGGAAACCGAGTAATCGTCGTCCTTCCTCAAGACACTAGATCCCATGAACGTGAAAATAGGCATGACACTGTGGAGAACCAGCTCTGGTGCAATGACAGACAGGCCAGCAACTAGGAGAAGAGCCGTGTTCTGAACCTGGGGGCTTTCCGTAGTACGAACGCAGTCAACAACCAAGTCAGCGCGGACAACAGAAGTATCAAACTGGGGCTTCGCGTTTGCCCTGGAGCGGTTGACGATTGCAAGGAGACCGCCAAGCGTCAAGCTGAGAAGGTAGCTCATGCCGGACTGGATTTGAGACTTGAAATGGTGAAGAGCGGCCAGGGTTTGGAACAAGCCTTCAGTGAGTTCTGGATGAGTTTCGGGGTTGGAACCATCCACAAGCTCTAGGATAAAGGTCATCTTGTCCATCAGCTTGCTGAGCTTCGCCTCGTCCTTGGTGGTCATGGCAACCATGTTGTTCTGACTGGTCCGCCTGCGCTTCGGAGCAGGGGCCAAAGAATCGACGTCTGTGATGGAAACGGGAATTTGTTGTAGGAAGTTAAGGAGGACAGAGCCGGGGAGCTCCACACCACGGAGGAGATCTCGGCAGCTACCGACAAGAGGGGATTCGGAGTCTTCAATAGAGATCTCGAAGACCTTCTGAGCAGCAGCAATTTGCCGATCCTCCGGTACTTTACCCCAGATCTCACCAATGCGGCTGAATACAGCGGAAACGAAAGAGGCTCGCAAGGACGCTGAATAAGGGCTGACGGTGGAAAGAAGTAGACTGATCGAGTCCTTCTCCTTCGCGGTGATTGTCTTCAGTACCTGGTCTTCGAACTCGGTTACGGAGATATGCTCCCGCTCGTGGATCTCCGTTACCTCCAGGACACTGAGGTTTCGCCAGGCCTTCAACACCGGCTCAAGCTCCTTGGTGCGGGTCGTGCCACCGGCCTTATCAACCCGGTTGAGTAGACTCAGCAAGCCGGCTTTGGGGGCATAGAGCGGAAGATGGACAGCATGTGAACAGAGGAACGTGAAGAAGGCTAGTCGTAGGGGCTTTTTTAGCGCGGAAGCAGAATCGGACGCTGCTCCTCGCAGAGCATTCTCAAGAGCTCGACCAATGTGTTCACTGTCAGACCGGCACTCCTCCAGTTCAGGAAGTACAGCTCGCTCCAAAACCTTTTGAAAATCGCTAGTAGAGAGCCAAGGAATGTCCTTCGTCGACTTTCCATATAGAGAATCGCGAGCCCAGACACCGGACTTCTTCTTCTTGTCAGCCACCTTGCCAATAATCGCAAAGGCATCGACTGCTCCAGAGCGCACTCGTTCGGAAGGATCGGACAAAGCAATAAGGATGAAAGGAAGCGCGGCTTGAACGTCAAGACCGTACCAAGCACTGGAACTCAGCTCGGAGGAGACAATTTTCAAAGCAGCGGTCTTCACGCCTGCAGGATACGGGCCAGCGAAGACTCTGATGAAGAAGGAAAGAAATTGGGGCGATTTTGTAGCGTTGGCTTTGTTCAGAATAGGCAGCTCAACAAAAGAATTGACCCTGTCCTGCGAACCTGCAGATAGTGCGAAAGCCTGGACAAGTTTATCAAATACGGGAATAGACCGCTCCACAAGGAAAGAAGTCTTGAATGGCCCCTCCTTCGTCAAAGATTCAATGGCTGTTGCGTAGCCATCTGTCGCCGTTTCCGCCGTTTCCTCCTTGTCTGCGTCTTCCATTTCAGTGTCTTCAATAGCCTTGGTGACAGGAACAGACTCGATAGCTGTTTGCAAGTTGTGCTCTAACACGCTGAGATCGAACGATGATTCCGCAATCACCTTTTGGAAGATCGGCTGGAGTGAAGCTGACCGGCTAAAGTGCTGGACAAGATCCGCAAGATGCGTCTGGGCATCCAAAGTCATTGTCCCATCAACATTGCATCCGGCTTGGAGAACTAAAGACATGGCTTTTGCCGTGTCGGCGTCATTCAAAAGCTGACTCTCAAACATTAGGGATACTAGATCCAGACGTGAGGCATCCTTTTGGCTTGACAAATTTTCAACACAGCCAGCTACTAGACCAAGAAGTAGCTGCGAGGTTTTACACTCTGCCGAAATTTCAGCCAGCTGCTTCAACGGTTCATCCAAACGAAGCAGAGCCTTGAACACCCGCTTCGGCAAACTAGCCTCAGGCTTTTGCTGTGCCAGAACCGCGATACATATAATTCCGGAACTCAATGTCTCTTCAGTCCATGATCCCGCAACTGCTTCCATCAACCCGTCCAGAACCCGGTCTTGGAGCTCGGCCTTCTGTGCGAGCACAACGCAAACCATGTAGCAGCCTATCACAAGCTCCGAAACGTCCTTCATTCCCAATCCATCGTTAAGGACCGGGAGAGTCTGAAGTATGATATCGTCGTGGTTCTGCTTCTCGACATTTCGGCGACCCGATCGGGAGGAGTCCAATTTTCCCGCAACACCCTCCGTGATCAAGCCCGCCCAGAGAGAAAGCAGCGCATGGTGGTGGGCTCGCTGCCGACAAACTTGGAGAACATGGTTATTGAGCGTGGTAAGAAGGTCTTTATTCGAAATGGCGTTTTGCACGAGGGCCCCGCGCACCGGGTTGATTGCGCTTCGTTTATAGGGAATAAGCACCTTGAGGGCTTGAGGAAGGTCTTCGGGGAGGATAGCAAGCAGGTTCAGGAAAAGGGGGGTCGAGTAGTATGGTAACAATGTGAGGATTGTGAATCCGGTGTTGTATTCATGTATCCTATGTCCATTAGCCAGCAGACAAGTTGGGCTCAAGCAGAAGAGCGTACCGGAAGCGCCTAACAAGCCACTCCACAGCCTTGACAGCCGGGCTCAAAAGTAGTCTTCCACCGACGAGTGCCAGAAAAGCCTCTAATACCGAATCCAGCTCTCTGTTCTGTTCTACGTTCATCTCCGTCCGGTCCTGGGACTTGCTCTGCTCGCTGAAGATCGAGCGCTCGAACTGCGCGAATTGGGGATCCAACTGGCATATTTCGCGGAAGCCATCATAACAAATGTCGTAAATCGTATCAAAGTCCTGCGATCCGGCGACTCGCTTGTCGAAAATCAAAGATTGCCCATGCGCAAGTCTCTGGGCTTTAAGGTTCAATTGGTTGGTGGAGTTGGCCGCGATTTGCGACAGCTGCGCGGCGAGGGACGACGCCATTTTCGAGGGGCAAGATCCTTATTGTGAATCGAGCAATGTGTCCATCCCTCGACTATTCGTCGATTGCGAGATACCGACTTGATGCGGGTTGAGAGGAATGCTTCAGCGGCGGAAATCTTCAAAGCTCCGCAACTTTTTTTTTAGTCCAAAAGGGAAAGGCGGAACGCGGGAGCGGAGTTTTTCCAGGCTCGCTCCAGCTCTCCCTCTGCTCTGCAACCTACGTCAACAATGCCTCAAGTCCAGGAGCATGGCTTCGTCTGGCTCGCAGGTGAGACCACAAGAAACTACGTTTGCCCTTTCCTTTAATAACTTCGTTGCAGGAAAAGAAAGCCATCCCGCGATTCGCCAGCTTCAAGCCCCGACCAGCTCCGCCCGATAACGATCGCCCCCCGGAGCTCCCCAGCCGCGAACGAGTCGAGTCCGAGGACAGATCCAGGCATCGGTCGAAATATCGCTCGAAACATGATAGTCATCATCGCCACCGGTCGCGGTCAAGAGACCGTAGAAGCGATCGCAGGGACTCTCGTCGTCCGCGAAAGGAACCCAGTCGTCGCGATAAGGGCCACCTGCGCGAGCCTACGCCGCCTTCGAGGAATAGTGTGAGGGAGACAATAGGAGACTCGTCTGATATCTATGTGGTTGACCGCAAAGGAGACAAGTACACGCTGATATACGGGACGATACATCGCTATAGCGTCCCTCACTATTACCGCATTGGCCGGGGCCGCGTATTAGGGCTTCCCTCGAACTATAGAATCGATCGGGAAACAATTGGGGAGAATGAGATCGTCGTGAGGTCTGAAACGACTCGCACCGACTCCTCGAAGAGCAGGTCGAAGAGGTTATTATCCAAGTCCGAGAAATCGCAGCCGAGGCTGCTCCGAGTCCGACCGACATCGTCCACAAATGATCCGATCGCGTCGTCCGAGGATTTTGTCCCTTTGTCAGACTCCCGTCGACAGAAAGACGTCGAGGCATTTGCGGGATCAGATGGAGAGGATGAGAAGTATGGATATCGGTCGATTCACGGCAAGCTAAAGCCGGACGAAGATCTGCCTAGCGACCTGGAACAGGTGACAGATTCCGAGCTGAGTGGCGGGGAAGCTGCGCGACAAGACCCGGACTGGGATATCAAACAACGAAACGTGGAACTATCTCGGGGCGTTACAGAGCGACCTACTGATATCGATGCGTGGCTACGGCTCATTGATCACCAAGAAACTGTCCTTAGAGGCTCAGGGGGAAAATCTAGCTCCTTGACAAGCGCCGAGCAGCACAGTCTAGCTGATATCAAAATCTCCCTGTATGAAAAAGCATTGAAGAAAGTTGGCCAGGGCCCCGGCCGAGATCGCCTACTTATCGGACTGTTAAACGAAGGCACGAACCTCTGGGACACGAAAAAGGTGCTGGCACAGTGGCATGCTACTCTGAAGGCCAATCCTCAATACATCAGCCTGTGGATGAAATATCTTGATTTTTGCCAAACCGAGTTTCTCAATTTCACACACGAACGGTGCCTCGCAACATTTGTTGAGTGTCTGCGTCTCAACATGGCCTCGCCCGATAGCCCCGAGAGGGCTCGTGTGCAAATATACCTATTTCTCCGTCTAACACTATTTCTACGTGAAGCGGGATACATGGAGCAGGCGACTGGCCTTTGGCAGGGCATCCTAGAACTCACATTCTACCGACCGCAAGATTTCGACAGCCCGGTTACGGATGAAGTGCTTTCAGCATTTACCGATTTCTGGGACGCGGAGGCCGCGCGGATTGGTGAGCTCGGATCAAAGGGCTGGAAGAATAGCAAGGCGGCCTTGTTCGACCCGAAAACCTTCGAGCCGCAGTGCCAACTCAACTCAAAGTCTATATTCGTGTCTTGGACGGCTTGTGAGAGAGAACGTATGTTCAACGCTCAGCTTCCGGCTCGGAGCTTGGATCAACCAGAAGATGATCCGTACCGTGTGGTCCTTGCAAGTGACCTCAAACGATTTCTTCCTCTGGCTGCGCTACCCAATTCAACACCTGAGCTCGTCGATAGTTTTCTTTACTTCAGTCAACTGCCGCCCATCATCAATGTCAACAATTATAACACAACCGGGCATTGGATGGGTGACAGCTTCCTGCGAAATGAGATATCAGCTGCCTCGTATGGGAACCTAGATGACTGGCTTTCAACGGCAGGCACCACGTCAGAGTCCGGAATCTTACCAACCATATTTCCCCACCAATACTTTGTTCACGACTATGACAGCTATTTTGCGGACCCTGCGGCGTGGTTCTCGTCTTTCAATACTTGGCTTAAAGCAACCTCCACCCCAGCAGGCATTGTTGTTCGCGACTGGGTCCGAAGGACACTCAGGCTACTGGTCGATGCGGACATGTCGAATGAAGATTTGGCCGAGTTTACCGTCGCGGTTGAATTCGCCTGCAACGCTAAAGAGGCTAAGAAGTATGCTAAATCACTTCTCAAGAAGAGGTCCTCCTGCCTTCGGCTGTATAATGCGTATGCACTCATGGAGCGGCGAGCCAGCAATTACACAGCTGGTGATCATGTATGGGCAACATCTATTTCGATGAGCAAATCTTTGTCCACTGAGCAAAGGGTTGACTGTGTTCTTCTATGGCACACCTGGATTTGGGAACTCTTGGAGGCTCGGAATACAACTCATGCGGCCCATCTCCTCGTTTCCATGCCGCAGAACCACATCGACCTTCAAGCATTTCCTGATACGTCAATTGAACCCCAGTTCAGCGCGGCGAATCTGCTGAAGATACGTAACGTACGTAACACGTTCCTTACCCTGCATCTCGCAAAAACTAACTAGTATAGTATTTATTGGGAACCCAAGAAAGCGCAATCGCGAACCGTAAACCCAGCATCATCAAAGCCTGCACCAGCTGCCAGGCCATTCTTACATACCTGACTCACGGACAAGATCTGAATGCGTCCCTCGAAGCATACACCTCCACAATTAACAGACTCTCCGCCCTCCCAAATCCCAACTCAGACGCAACAAAGACTTTCGTCTCATACACAACCGAACTCCTTCACCAATCCCGCGCAAAACTCCTCTACTACCACCTCCGCACAAGTACCCTCTACAAACCATCCGCCATCCGCAGCATCCTAAACGAAAGCATTACCGCATTTCCCCACAATACAATCACCCTCTCCCTCTTTGCCTGGAACGAATCCCGCTTCCGCATTGAAGAGCGTGTACGCGATATCATGCGCGATATCACCGCCACAGCCACCTCTCCATCCTCGTCCCAGTCCGCCCCAATTCCAATAACATCCCACCTCTTCTCCATCCACACCGAGCTCAACCGCCCCACATACGCCGGCTCGACGTTGCACTCCGTCCGAGCAGCTTTCGAAAAGGCCATCGGCGACCAAAACCAGAGCTCTTCTTATCCCTCCACATCCTCCTCCTCCGGACGCACCAGCATATCCCTCTGGAAACTGTACATCCTCTTCGAGATCTCGCGGCGCGAAATCACGCGCGCAAAGAACGTCTTCTACCGCGCGATGCGTGCGTGTCCGTGGTCAAAGGATATCCTCATGTTGGCGTTCACTCATTTGCGCGAGGACGTCGTTGCTGAGCAGCACGGTGACAACGGCGGCAAGGGAATGAACTTCCATGAGCTGCGGCATGTGTATAATGTCCTCGTTGAGAAGGAGCTGAGGATCCATATCGATATTGAGCGCGAGCTGGATGAGATGGCGCTCAAGATGGAGCGGAGTGCGTTGGAGATGCATATGCCTATCTCTATGCCTGATGATAAGGACGGGAGCGAGGACGAGGAGATGCAGATGTAATATAGCGGCAGGACATTATTTTCGAAGAAACGTTGACTGCACGATATTTATCATTCGTGGGACCGACTCTAGGCATTATCCTTTATTCGATTCGATTAAAATTTTGCGCACAATGTGAAATCTAGATAAGGCTGGCAAGAAAGGCTGGCTATGTACTGATCTCAAAATAGAATACAGAGTATAAGATATGCAGGCATCATGCGACAAATACAGGGATGCGATGCAGGAACGGACCAAGGGAAGTCGTAACTCGTCACGGGATATCGAGAACAGATGGATGGCACAATATGAATAGGGTTAGTGGTTTGGTGGCCACTTGCATGTATAGGGCTTCTAAATAGTATCGGCTCATTAAGTCAGGTAGATAGACAGCGCCAAGTTCAGAAGTGTTCCTTCCAGAACTTGAACCTGACCTCGCTCGTTGACGCAGACGACGCAGCAGCTTTGATCTGGCGGGCGGCAACATTCGGACCACAGAAGTACACACCGATCTCTGTCTTCGAGTGCGTGTGCAATCCGCGCATGTAGGATTGATCCTGCAGCCCGTTCCGCATGGCCGTGAACAGCCGCTTGAAGTCCGGGCGACCGAAGTTGGTCCTGCTCTTGAGTTCGGTGAGCGGGTCGAGTTCGCGGCCGACGGAGTTGAGGTAGATGTTGGCGGTTGTATCCTGGTCGAGGCGCTGTGTGAGGTAGATGTGGATGCGCAGGAACTCGGAGATCCCCTCGTAGGCGGCGTCGGAAGCGGACTGGGCTTCCAGGGACGAAAGGAGGGCTTGGAACCACTCGAATGAGGTCGTGTCCTTGCAGACCCAGATGAATTCGACACGGCGGAGACGCCGGGGTGGGTTTGGGGAGGCGCGGAGATGCCAGATGTTTTTGAGGATGGAGGCCCACGGCGTCACGCCGATGCCTGTGCCGATGAGGACGGCGATTTCGTTCTCGAAGACGTCTTCTGCGGGCGCGCCGTAGGGGCCGTCGACGCGGAGCTTGGGCATTTGTTGGCCGTTCTGCAGCGCGACTTCGTACATGCCCATGGGGTCGAGGCCTTCGAGGTCGCGGGCTTGTGCGGGACCGCATCCGAGGGCGTCACCGAGGGCGCGGGTGAAGTCGCCGACTTGTCGGACGTGGATGCTGACGTATTCGTCGAAGGGGCAGGAGGTGATGGTGAAGGGGTGCCATTGGGTGTTTGAGACTTCGGGGACTTGGATGAAGAGCCACTGTCCGGCTTTGTACTTGAAGCTTGGTTTGCGGAACTGGATTTCCATTGCGTCTGCGGTCGTTAGTATAATGTACATGGGTAATGGAAGGAATGACTTGCCGTATGGATGGCGGATGACTTTGACAATCTCCGTTTCACGTAGTGCTCGGATCTCGCGCCATAGACGTTCGCACAAGTAGAAGAACCCCGCCACAAGCTCCCATCTCCAGCCATGGTATCCGAGGCAATGGTTCCAGAACTGTTCTCCAGCAAAAGGTGAGTATGGCTCCGCGCTATCCCTAACAAAACAACCTGTTGCATGGGTATAGAGAGCCAGCAGGAATGGGATGAACAGGTGATGCGTGTACCAGAAGGTCTCAAACGACTGTTGGCGAATCCGGTGATGGGATGTCGTATACATGAGCATCATGCAAAACAGCATTACGTGCCCAGTGACTCCGCCGGCTTGAGTATAGTGTATTTGTAAAGCTGTCTCGGGTCGCAGCTGCTTTTTCTCGATATTGTAAAAACTGCAGAACGTCAGATGGCTTTCCTATCTATTTAGGATTGACTCACTTGACGTAGTGACCAGCAGTGTGGAGAATGGTAAATACGAGAGTCGCATAGGCCACCTGGCGATGAAACCATATGTTCTCGTCGAGCGGTAGCCATCGTAGCTTGGGGCGAAGAAATTTGACAATATTCCTGCACATCGGTAACAGGATAAGTGTTCCATCGACCGTCAGTACCAGGCCGGCGCCTCGCGAGATCCAAACTGAATAGGAAAGTGCATTCAGCGGTGCCAAAGGCTTGCTACTTGCTTGGTAGTACCTGAGGCAGTCAGCGATTGCTCAGCACACCTTCCTCGGAGACAAACCATCCGTATGCAAATATGGCAATGTGCGCGCCCCAGAACCAAGTATAGAAGAATATCTTTGAGGGAGCAACGTAGGACTTTAGCGGATAACGGCCCATGGCGATGAAGCCCACCGATAGGGTATGGAAACGGGATATCTCGACAGCGAACTAACCATCGGCCTGCGATGATTGATGTCGATTATGAGTAGGGGATAGACGGGCTTGGAGCCCTTCGACGTTGACACGCTTCCACCGGTGCCGTGAGTGTAATCGATACTTCTATAAACTGTCCCAGATCTATAAAGTACACTCGTGAGGGCTGGACTTGTGAACGGCGTGGTGATGTCAATCAATCGAGGCTCGATGAGACGTAGCGCCGCTAAGATAAATGCAGGACCCCGAGGGGTGAAGAATCAGCTCTCGGTCCCTTTTCCACTTCGATCGATACCGAGCCGTCGGACGAGACTTTTTAAATTAAATAAATGGTGGCGTGGTGGGATGTTATCGCAAGGCAGAGGCGGTTTGCTCAGCGCAGGCAAATGGCGGGTAGTCGAGGAACCAGGACGAGCGCCCGTCGAACCATGATATCGAGCAATTGTCAGAGAGTGAGTATTGCTGTTGAGCGATTGTGGAGAACCCAGCTGTGCGGTAGTGATGTGCAGGGGATGGAGGAGGGAGATGAAGAGGAAGAGGGGAAGAGGCAAAGCGCCGGGCTCTAAGGTTGGAGGTTCCGCGGGAGTCTGCAGTCTGCACGTTCAACAGCTGCCAGCTGCGCTAGGTAAACGCCCCATCCTCGACCAGGATCAGTGCGATCGCATTCCTTTTATTGGCGGGACGAATCAACGGTCTCTGCAGGCCGGTCCAACTTTCCTAACTAGCGGGTCTTGACTGCTAATTGAAGAACCACTCCAGATCCTCCGCAGAATACGAAGCGACGAGTCACCGCGATGTCCCCCATCGTTCGATGCATCCGACATCATTCGACGATGGCGTTGTGACAGAGGTCTCTGCCTGTCCTCCCAGGGAAGCGATAATGCCCGATGGATGCTGTCACAATCAGCCACGAACTCTGATCGAGTCAGGATGCTCCTTCGAGTTAAGCGACTGGCCCCGATCCCAGAGCACCGCCATGTGTTATCTTCTATCATCCTTCGGTGGTGTTTCCCCTATCCCTGCGAATCGACGAATGGACCCGCCATGTGGCTGGAGGAGAATTACGCTGCTACCTGGGACAATGATTGGTACATTGAGGTTGTTCGCATTGGCGTCATGTCACTCCTTCGCACTGTGGCTTCACTGATTTGTTGGGGCTTCTGCGACCTGTTGCGGCGCTGCCCTATGGGGGAAGCTCTACAAGCGCCGTTCCCACACAAACCCCAGCCATCGTGTTGCCAAGTTCTCATCCTCCCCACAAACAAGAGGCGCTCGGAAAAAAGGCGCCGTTGAGCGCTGGATGTTGCCAAATATAGACGGCCTGGCAAGGCTAGACTCAAGCAGAAACCATCTCCGGGCTATCGTTAAAGCTACGTTGATACCCAGCCCTTGGCAGGAGGAATTCGAAGGGCTTTCCATAAAGAATCTACTTGGCTCTGCACGTCGACAACTTGGCACAACCGGAATACAGTGGGACAAGAGTCACAAGACTCGGATGGGTCGACCATGGGCTGTCAGGAAGACGGTGAAGAGTGAAGACCGAGTCCGCTATGGTTCCGAGCAACAACAATTGATTATCTCCGAGCTCGTGCTTGCTCGAGAAACAAAGAGGCGCCATTCGTAGCCGCTGCCTGCTGTTTATAAGCCATTGGGTATGACGGCTTGGCTTGAAATTGCGACTGGAGCGTCTATCGAAAATATACTTTGACGACCGCCAAGAGAGACCGAAATAGAAACCATGAGGGCATTCGTGATCGTCTGTTTCCCCGCCTCGCACTTCGATTCTGCAGAAGTTTGCGCTGTTAGGCAGTTCGCGACTGAGCAATGAGATTGCCTGAGCGCCAGACCCCGGCGGCACTAGAGCATGGTCCCGCGAATCTGCTGTCAGTGTCACCTGTGGGATCTCTCCAGCCGTCACATTTAGGCATGGCACTAATGCAGTCAATCCCTCCCCGTCCCCGCGTCCTCAATCCCCATTTGCTCTTCTCCTGCCTACCGTCACGTTCTTAAGCGCCCGGCAGGGGACCCCCTCGCTCATTTCCGGCGCCCCTCTCCAATCGCTGATCTGGTTTTCTCTTCCTCTGGAGTCTGAAGAAGCCAGGCGGGGACTTCGAGCACACGACCATCCTGTGAGCTCTTATAGGCTGATGGTTCATCATTCCGGCCTTGAATCGGGCCCAGCTGCTCGCAGGCCTATCATGATGACAAGAAAGGTGGGATGCGTTGCGGCCATGCGAAGCTATGTAATCCGCTGCCCTCCCACAGTCAGTTGGTCTCTCGGGCCTTTATCGCTTGAACGTGGCATGATTTTACACAAGACACTATCTCGCACGATCGGTTGTTTGATCTCGGCATGAATTGACGCTTGTGACGATTCCCCATTGAACGAATCCCGAACCCGATTCTGCAGACTCGAGCCAATGCAAAGTACAAGACTAGCCTCCACTGCCATGTCAAACTGCACGACAAACCCACGAGTGACATTCTTCAGCGAGATACACGACGGATAATATATCTCTATACCCTCAACGCTTGACTCAATCTACGCCCATTGCCACGAATTAACGATACGCGCTTTCGCAGGACGGAAGCGCCCGCACCTTTTCACTGACATTAATACATCACCTACCTCTACCATAACTTCAAGATGGGCCGCTTAATTAAGAACCACTGGGCGCGCCTGATTGTCCTCACAGCATCAGCCTGTAAGTGCCCTCAAACTACAATCGTTGAGTTGCGGCGCTAATCCAACAAAAATCAGACCAAGTAGGAAGCGCAATCGAAGCCTTCATCTGGCCGAAGATTTTCTGGGACACTTGGACACGGAACCTCGATGGCGCCGTCACACCCGTTCCGGTCCTCCAGATTCTCAACCTCATAATGGGTCTCCTGGGAGTCGCTTGGGAATGGCCATTGAAGTATCTGGCGGGGACAATGCCGCATCGCAGCATCGAGTTCCGATTGCTGCTCTACCCGCTCAGCTCAATTTTGGCGGCGCTCATATACCAGGGCACAAATGCGGCAATCTACTATCTTGTTGGGATCGCCGTTTACTTCTGGGCGTATAGTGAGGGCGAGGTTAGTTTTCACTTCAAGCATTGGGTGTGATATTCGGTTCAGTTTCACTGATTGGTCATTTGCCAGGTTGTATGCGCGGAACCATGGACTCTACCCAAACGAAGACCTTCGAAAGTATAGCGATGCATTATGATATCTGTGGCGCGGCGTTTGACTTGGATTGAAGAGACAGCTCTGGTAGCACTCTCTGCATATATACCCTGACTTGCATATATTTCTAGATGTAATACTTATGACCGCCTAATGGACATCAGCAACATACTTGAAGCCATATAATTCCACATCATAGTATAGAGTAGCAGTATGCTAATGAGTATGCGAGACTTGAGCCAGCTTCTTCATGGAATGAGTCAGCTAGGTACAGTAGTAGGTACCTAGGTCAGGTGCTGCTAGTGCTTCCCGTACCCCGGCAGCTCTGTAGCTCCTTCCAACTTCACCTCCCAGCATCTGTATGCCATGGCGCGTCCGAACTCTTTATATACGTCCCTCAATACCTAACTTTACTCTGTCTTGAATGTAAGAATACGCAGTCCATTCAAGCGGTGTCACTCCTCAAAGAAACCCCCTCAAAGAAACCACCTGAAGCGTCGCCAGCGAAAGCCACACCTGGCTAAGCTTCACAGTATCTATCTACTCGGGACACCCCAAGATGTCGTTTCCTCAGAAGCAACTCAATATCCTGTTCTCTATCGCTCAGTACTTGGTGTAAATTGGCTGATCTTCCGGTTTCCGACTTGCGGGAAACTGCGTGTTACGGGTAAGCGGATGAAGACTCGTTAATTGACCGGGAATCTGAGACGCGAGGAATCGGATGCTGAAGCAGAAGAGGGAGAAGGGAAGTCTGTGGTATGATCAAGTTGCTGACGCTCTTTCGAGGGAATCCATTGCGCTACGTTTCCGGTCCTAGTCCAGTATCCGATGCTCTCGCCTCCTCCGAGTCACTTGAAGCTAGCAGATTCAGATCTATACATTCACCATATAATATCGACATCGTTTACTCTGGCCAAGAGGGAAGAGCACAAACATACACCCTAAGCCATCGTGTCCATCTCGCCATCAAAACTCCGCTTTGGCTTCACTGCATGGCCTTCTCGCCATTCCAGCCTCCATCGCTCACACAATCCCTGGACCCAACAGAGAGGATTGAATGTGTGATACAACACTCCACGACCTAGACCTCACGCCTCTCAAGTTTCTAGAGTCAGTTCTGCAAGCGGCGAGAGCATCTGGGAATCTGTCCTTCCCTTCGCTTTTGCTCTTGTCCTCTATGCCTTGCCTATGGAGGGCGACGATGGCAGTGATAAGCTCTTCGTCGTCCCAAAAGCCCTCCTCAACCTCAATGCAGATACTGACACAGCTACTTATCACAATTGCCTCAATACCCACCTTCGTGGCCGCGCAGATCATCTTCCCCGCGCCGTCTGTTCTATGCTCTGCCCCCTTTGAGCGCCTCTTGAGCGAATACTGGCGGCAAGTTACAGGCGAGGTGTAACGCTAAGATATCAGGATGTCTCACAGGCGTTTAAAGAGAAAAGACGTGAATTCTATATGACGCCCGGTGGATTTTCTCGTTTTTCATTTCCTCTCAACGCAGTCTTGGAGCCCCACAATCCCTCGCTCTTGCACCTGTTGGTAAGGGCGCATCTGACAAGGCAAAACATGACCTCGCACGGTGGCGGGAGAAGTAGGCCGACCTATATGTTCTGGGGATAAGCTGTACTACCTAAGCGCTTGGTGCTGTTGCCAGGTGAGGTAAGGGGCTTCTAGCCCTGACATCGGAACCCCTGGGGCACATGGGCACGTTTTACCTGCTCCTTAAATGTGACTGTAGTGAGCCTCCCTGACCATTACCAAGCCTTCCCCTAATGGGTTCCATCACACTTTTGCCAATCGTGGTCTTGGACCAGATTTGGCTGCATTTGGATCTTCAAGACTTACAATCGCTTCGTCTAACCTGCATGTATCTTGCCTCGAGGACTCACTGCTGCTTTGGCAATCGGTCATTCGGCGAGATCTATCTAGCTCTATCAAGCGACGGGTTGCAGGTCCTGAAGGACCTCGCTACCCTTGACAGTCTCGGGCCTACGTCAAGGCATTGTGGAAGCCCCCCGGTCTCTTCAACAGGTGCTACAACTGGACATTGGACGCTGCAATCGGCCATATTGAGATTTTATTCTGTTACCGGTCTAGAGAGAGATTTACAAGCAGATGTACCTGTATCCAGTCCCTGCTTCAAAGTACGCTGATGGACTGCTTGCCTTGTTTCCCGAATCTTCGTGCAATCGGATTGAAACACTACAGAGACCATGCTCCAATCTGGAAGGGGAACTCGAAGCTTGGGAAGCCAACTCGGGTTTGATGCCTCAATCCTCAGCCGCATCCTGAGTCTAAACTAGCCAGCACGAATGGGCTTTTCTCATCAAACGCCTTTCAGGCCCACATTCTTACGATTCTCATAGCCGCCATAAGCACAACGAGCACGCAAATCAAAATTGATACTTTCGAAACGAAGAGCTTGATGGCAAATGATAGATTTACGTCCGTTCTACAGTCTATTCTTGGACGCCTCCACCGCGGTACCCAACCTACGAAGCCTTTCGCTGTCTGCCCAACATACGTCTTGCACCTTCTCCTCGCCGTTCCAATGGAAAGCGAGACTCTATCTTGCAGATGTACATGATGAACGAATGGCGCGGCACTTACGGCTTGCTTTCTACGCGCCCTCTTGTTGACGACCGTGGTACCCGCAGTGCCGTTGTTTTACTGCCTTCGTCTACGTCTCAGCAGAATAGGAAGGGGCTGGCTAGGGCACTGCAGGTCTGTCAGCTGGTATGCGCTTATTTGTGAGAGTTGAAAATCCCCATTACATCGTTTCAAGCTTCACATTTGCTCGCACCAGGGATTACGGGCTCGGCTTTTCGATCCCTCTCACCTCGGTGTCCAAGCTGATGGAAAATCACGGCGTATTTGAACAAAACTGCCATGTAGCTTGCAGATCGGATCGGCCGAGTCGATCTCGAAACTCACAAGGCTCACCGTGACGCTGTTCTGCTGGATATAGAGCATGTCAATCAAATGCAAATCTATTCAACAGCAAGCTACTCAGCATATGAGCATTGCACTACTCCTGACTACAACACGTACAATGAACCTGACCATGGGGTATCCGCTTTCGTACTTAGCCCTAAGGTTCAGATGTTCCGCACTACCACTTGCGTTGGCTGAGGAAACCATGCCGTTTCCCCATTTTGGGCTCTGGCTGAAGGCAATCTGCCCACTCTTATCTGAAAACCGCCCCGTTTCATTGCTCAACCTCGTCTTCACTTGCATGCTGGGCGGTTGGTCAGCCTCGTGGGCCCCAACCGAGATCACTCCTTCATGGCAGGCCATCGACGGCACAATTATGCCCACACTCAGCCGATTTCGCACTGCCCTGCTGTCGAGTCCGCAACATAAGAGCCGAACCCTGCCTTTGGGGTGAATGTAACGCAAGACAGCAACAGGTGTGATGCTCTTCAAGCACACTTGAGAGCCATTCGCAGCCAAGGAGACAACTGTCAGTGTGATATTCTGCAGAAGAGAGACATCAGTGCTACTTCCGCGGCAAACTACAAAGGTGAAGGTGCTCAGAAATGTCAAACTGATAACGAATGTCATTCAGACTATGTCAATTTAGGTCCCCAGAAGAAGAAGAATTATATGCTATACAGCCTTTTCCATTACATCCCACCTCGATCGAACTATCCTCAACAGCTCAATTTCAATGCCCTTCGACAGGGAGAACTGGTGCTGGGGGTGCACCTAGCTAACTCGGGGCTTTTGTGCTAGATGGTATGTTAGCATAGTCCTTCACATGGCTGCTGTTGCGGGTTGTGCTTACCGGTGCTCTACCACTTGCCATCTCCGTAGCCGCCATAGCCCTTTCCGCCCTTTTCGTAACCGCCCTTCTCATAGCCACCCTTTTCAAATCCGCCCTTCTCAAATCCGCCCTTTTCATAGCCGCCGCCGAAGCCTCCACCATAGCCGCCGTGACCACCGTACCCGCCGTGACCACCATAGCCACCGTGACCACCATAGCCACCGTGGCCGCCATAGCCACCGTGGCCGCCATAGCCGCCGTGGCCAAATCCACCGAATTCGCCCTTTCCATATCCACCGAATTCACCCTTTCCATATCCACCGAATTCACCGAAGCCCTTGCCGCCTCCGAAGCCCTTGCCGCCTCCGAAGCCCTTGTTGTGGAAGCCAAAGCCCTTACTACCACCAAATCCGCCATCATAGTATCCGCCGTCATGGAATCCACCCTTCCCATGGCCGTAGCCGCCGCCATAGCCGTGGCCGCCGCCATGACCGTGGCCGCCGCCAAAGCCGTGACCAAAGTCGTCATGGCCATGGCCCTTGCCACCCTTGTCGATTCCAATTCCCTTGCCGTCTCCGCCGATGCCGACTCCAAGACCAACGCCTATATCGCCGATGAGGCCGCCGTCGCCTCGAGCATGAAGGCCATACTTGATGCCCTTTCCGTCGTCGTACTTGTCGTCGTCGTACTTGTCGTCATCGTACTTGTCGTCGTCGTACTTGTCGTCGTCGTACTTGTCGTCGTCGTACTTGTCGTCATCGTACTTGCCGTCATCGTACTTGCCGTCATCGTACTTGCCGTCATCGTACTTGCCGTCATCGTACTTGCCGTCATCGTACTTGCCGTCATCGTACTTGTCGTCCTTCTTGTCGTCCTTCTTGTCATCCTTCTTGTCATCCTTCTTGTCATCCTTCTTGTCGTCCTTCTTGACGTCGAAGCCGGAGGAAACAAAAGGGACTTTGGGGTCATAGCCCTTGTGGCCCTTGGCGTCCTTGACGTCGAACTTGCCATCATCCCAGTCCTTCTTGTCGTCGTCCTTGTTGTGTGCGTACTTGTCCTTGAATTCGACGACCGGGAACTTCTGGAGATGGCGGGCTTCGACCTGGAGATCGCGAGCTTGAACCTGTCAGAAGCCATTTGGGAACAGAGGAATGTGCAGACCTACCCTCCAAGTTTCTCACTTCTTTCTCAACCGGGGCCGTGACGGCCAGGGTCGAGAGCGCGAGAATGAGCGCAGGGGTGATGGTGACCTTCATTTTCGAAAGTGCCGCAGGTGGAACAGTTACAAACGAGAGTGTCTCGGTAGAGATGCGATGTGCTGTTGAGAGTTGGACTGGGGCTCCCTGTCGAAAGAGTGTGCTGAGGAAGTTGAAGATTGGGACTCTGGGGGAGGAATGAGAGGAGCTTTATAGGTTTTCGATTCCCCTTGAATCTCAGCGAGAAGGTGCAAAGCACGGCAATACTTGCTAATGATGCTGAAGGTGCACAGTGTCTGAGTCCGGGCACAACTACAAGATCATCTTCGACTGCCGTCAAGCAATAGTACGTGTCCGAGCACGCAGCTTCATCTACTACAAACGGCAAAATCTTACGTGATTAATTGAAGACGCACAGGCAAACAAGTGCCACATACCAACATTGCCATTGTTCGCAACCCCGGATCTGCATATGGGGTAGGCATTCGCAGCTCTGAGAGGCGAATTGCAATCTTCCACGCCTGTGCGGTGCATCTGGTCCGGTTGGAAATCTGTGCTGCCACCGCAACCCACCCAGTGCCAGCGAAGCATTTCTTTCGATAATTCCAAAACCGTCCACCTTAGTCGAGCAATACCAGGTCTTTTCTGGTGAGTATGGCGGGTTCTAATTGCCTCTGCTGCAATACGCTTTGACGATATGCAATATACTAATACCAGCGGCATACAATGCAATAATCCTTCATAAACAGTGCAATTCATGATGGCAATCGATGCACGCCGCATACCAATGCTAGCTCTGAGTGGCAATCTCACCCTTCCCTCTCTATACGTTACTTACCCCAAAGACAGCCAGCAAAGCTTCTTCATATTCTCGCCACCTAATGCAGCCACCTCATCCTGGGCTGTCATACTCCGCAGTTGCCCCGTGTTCGTCAAGGGAGCGATATGTGAGCCTCAGCACGTAGGGCATCTGGCATCCAGAGCAAGACCTACAAATAGAGGCCGGACATGTCATGTGCCAATAGAACGTGGCACGGTCCTACACTGAACTGCGGGGACAGTGCAACCGACGACTCGAAATTATCTTGGAGATATCATCCGTTCATGTATCCGTGCCTTGCATGATGCTTGTTTACCGTCGCCACCATTGCTCCGTACCAGGCCAAGGAGCCGGGGTTGTAATGAGAATGGGCATGTGCACTATTAATGGTTCCTACACTATAATCTATTTAGATTGACACCCCACAGAGCACAGAACACCCGGAGATCGGTGCCTTGCATTATTGTTTCAGGTCCTGTGCCACGGCCAAGGATATGTGCGGACTCGACAAATCAAAGGCCTACATGTAGGTGTTTGTTTAGAACATCATTGCAGTGCTTATTCTTCCTGCATTGCAGGAACTATTGGCTGTCTGTTTGCCGCATGGTTTCCATTATGGGGGTTTGTTATGGTTCTTCCCCTGGAATGTCCTGCGGAAGGTAGAAGGCATCGAACAGGTGGTACTGCTGGCCGGCATCTCGTGGTCTGTACAAGCTGTGAACTTCCTCTTCCCAGGCTTGTCTACACGGAGGAAATTAGGAGAGATACTCATTGCAGCCCTCTAGGTACATCTTCGATCGTATGCACATAAGCCTCGTATGTACTTGCTCACTCATTTCGGTCCGGTTTGCTTTAGAATGGTAGGGGATGTAAGGGGTGGTTTGAGTACCCAACGTGGTACCCGGGTGCTCAGATATATCCCGACAGCTTGCTGAGTATTGGTGGCAACGCCCGGCCGCCGGGATGGAGTGATCTGTTTGGCTTCTCACCGGAATTCAACAATCACGCCATCCAGGAGGACATCTCATGGATGATGGGGTGGGAGGTGGCGATGTGTCTTTGAGCTCCATTGCTCAACAATCTCTCACCTGTTCTCTTTGGATATCTGAGGCATGGAAGAGCTGAGCACGCAGTACTCTGGTATACTCGGGTCAGCTCCGGGGAAATGGTAGCCCGTGCCAAGCCTTCCCGAAAAGGAAAGCCCGTCCCGCTCAACTTTATGCAACTCAAATTTGTAATTATGCCTTTATGCAGCAGCATATCCGAGAGCCGAACACCTCGCTTCGTCTCTCTCTTCTGTCATTGCGCCGGGCACCTCCCCGAGCCATGTGTTTGTGTTCAACATGGTAGACGATGTCATTCAAAACAGCGATTTGGCCTGTTCCATCTGCCATGAAACCTTCCGACGCGTGGAACACCTGAAACGCCACGCCTTAACCCGTGAGAGCTCGACACCACCAACACCACCATGACCATGACCATGACAATTGACCAGCAACGCAGATGACGATGCCAAGCCCCATGCCTGCCAATTCTGCGGCGCACAGTACAAACGCAGGTGCGTGTTTTGCTCTCCTTCTTCGCCTGTTCTTGCCCGCAACATTGGTCCCTGACTATTGACAGCGATGCCCTCCGCCGGCACTGGAAAACTTGCACTGCGCGGATCGCGGCCGGGGTTGGTATTCCCAAGCGCAGTCTATCCGGCAAGCGGAAGCAAGCCTGTGACTCTTGCACTGCGAGAAAGCGGGCTTGTTCCACTGCGTTGCCGTGCTCGGAGTGCGCGATGAGGAAGACCGAGTGCACTTATCACCAATCCCGGCCGAGCATCTACAATCGCCAATCGCTACACTTGGCCAAAGAGGTAGTGATTGAGGGAAATGCGGCAGTTAGTGGCACGCACAGCGTCTCTTCGCCCGTACCCTCACGGGAGACAGCAGTGCATGACCGAATCCCGTCTCCAGGTCTTCAGCATCCCCGGTTCGGGTTCCTTGCCAATTTCACCAAAGCGGGTGGGTTGAACGAGGCGTACAGTTTCAATTCGGGATTGATGAATACTCGCCCAACACCTTCGCTCTTGGGCACCAGCGACACTGGACCTCTCGGGGACAGGGATTATTTGCAGGGAATTGCCGCTTCAAACCCATTTGACTGCTACTTCGACGATTTTGAGCCAGGTCTATGGGCGGATGCAAATACCTCCCGAAACCACGTCGAAGAGGGATTGTTGGCTGAAAAGGCACGTCAGATGTGGGACAGCCTGCGGCCTATCCTGGACAGTCCCACGACACATCACCTGAATATCACTTCGAGCGAATGGTTCGAGTTCTTCTCTGAGAATGCAACCCGGTACCTGCATCTCTTCTGGTCGCGATGGTACCATCACTGCCCAATTGTCCACAGCGCGACCTTCAACCTCAACACGTGTTCGCCTCTCTTACTTATGACGATGTGCCTGATCGGCGCATGCATGTCCTCTCTAGACGCGGACCACCAATCGGCGAAGCGGTTCTTGGATGTAATCGAAGAACTCATCTTCTCGAATCCACTGTTTATGGAATCGCCACGACTAGGATCGACGGATGAAAATCTGCTCCAGACTCGAGACAATGTTCAGATCCTGCAAGCGATGTGTTTCATGTGTTTGCTGCAGAAGTGGGAAGGGAGCATCCAGGCCAAGTTAAGGATGCAGCGGCATCGGTTTACGGCTTTTGTTGCGGTAGAGCCCCCACAATTTATCTACAACGGAGACATGCTGACAATCTATAGACTACACGGGCGATGGGGCTATCTCAGGCAAGGCATCCTCGTATCGATCCTAATTCGACTCTGTCCGTTGAAGCATGGAAGGAATATACCCTCAAAGCCGAAATGATCAGGTAGGTTCATCCCCGCAGAGCGAAGTCGCTCTAACCAACCATCCAGAACCTTTAACCATGTCTTCCTTCTCGACTCGGCTTTTGTCATCTTCCACAATTCTGTACCTCGCATGGTCTTACAAGAGATGACGATCGATCTGACCTGTCCGGAAGACGTGTTCCAGGCCGCGTCACCGGCCGAGTTTATAGAGGCATTGAAGTTACACCCATTATGCACTGTTCCTCTACTCACCGACTGCGTCCGCAACTTGTGTGCGGAAAGCCCCGATCCAGGTGTGGTCGCGCATCTTAGCCGGGAGAGTGCTCTCAATTTGTTCACTATTGCTACTGGTGGGTATGTCTTTGCTGTAGAGATGTTCGTTTCTAACTATCAACAGCTGTCCATGGCCTGATATTTCACCAACTCCGAGCATTCTCACCTCTTCCCTTGGCCACGGATCCTCTAAGGCGAGCTTTGGGTCGGTGGGAGAAAGCCTGGGAAGTCAGCATGGACAAGACCACCAACTTAACCATGGAGGATGGAGTCCTCCCCTTCCCGCTCCATGCTCGGGAATTTGCTGCACTCGCCCGCGTGCACATCGAAAAGTCCCACCTAACGCCTGAAGAATGGAACCTAATGATCAGACAGCTGCCCGAACATGTATCAGTGGAAACCAGAGAAGGCCTTGCTACGTTCGATCAAACGGGGATGGATCAAGTAGCGAATCTCATATTGGCTGTCGAACATCTAGACCTAAAGTGATCAATACCGTCACTGAGCAGAAGCACAAGCTTTCTCTAGAGCGGAAACAACTCGACGCAAACATTCTAGCATCTCCTCGTCCTCCCCATTTGTGTCCCCGGCATCAAGATCGATAAAGCCATTATGCTCAAATCCATGTCCCTGACCCACCGCTCGCTCCAGGTGCACCTGAACACCAAGCTCGCCCAACTTCTTTGCGACTAGGGCACTCTGCTCAAAGCCCACCAACTCATCTGCGTCTCCGTGCAACAAAATAGTTGGCGGGAAATTCTTTGTTAGAGCAAATGATGCCGGAAAGAGAGACCGATATTCGTCAGGTATTACCTCCGCACCCTGCTGCTTAATAACCTTTGCGAGTCCAGGGATCCTGGTTAGCACGTCAGGGAACATAGCGCCCTCATGCATCGCCTTGATCCAGTTGAATCTCTTATCGGCCGGTGGGTTCTCTGGGAACGGATATCCATCAAGTGGTTTTCCGCTCACCATAGCCTCCCGAACCTCTTCCAAAGCAGCTGGCAGATCACTCACGGGCGCACGAAGAGGCCGTCCCGGTTCGACATACCTCTTCCCCGCGGGATCCAGCATGCCATAATTTGACAACACGGCGAGTGGCCTTGGGCACGTTGGATGCGCCGCCGACGCCAGCGCGAGGTACCCGCCTGCACTGGATCCAGCGATGATGATCTTCTTGCTGAGATTACTGCGTACCCAGCGGATTGTGTCGAGCGCGTCGCTGAGGATTTCGAGCCCTGGCGTTTCGGGGAGGAGCCGGTAGGATGGGCTTGCGTACGTCCAGCCGCGCGCGCGGCAGGCGTTTATGAGCCAGTGCGGGGGCTTAGTTGATTTTTCGCCGAGGACCTGTTCAAGGGCTTTATTAGTTTTGCGATTTGTCTGAACGAAGGGCTTGGTACCAGATATCCTCCGTGGAAATGCACGAGCACGATTCCATTGTCAGAGGCTTTTGGCTTGGAGACGTCGATTTCCAATGAGAGTCCGTCGGCTTCTTTGAAGGTATGTGTGGATGTTTCCATCGTGTTGATCAAGTTTGGGTTGACTCTGAGTTGACTGCAGATAGTGGTGAAAATACCCCGCGACGAGGGGCAGGCTCGGGGGTGAATTCCGCGGCAGATCGCACGGTAAGCCACAACCGGGGGATCAACGCCGCGGAAGCCTATCCACGGTTATGCCTACTCCAATGAGGAAGGGGATTCTCCAGATCACCCCGTAGATCGTTGTCAACGTCCCTTCACCCCACACTATTAGCCGGTCCTTACAGCCGAGACCGTTTGGCTTATATAGTCCCCAAAAGCCTCATTCCGGGTCATTATGGGAATCTCGGTCTTTTCTTCCCCAAGATCGGTGATACCACCCCTATAGGAGCAGGAACACAATGGCTTTAGCACCAGCTGTCCTACAATGCCTCGGTGATAGCCCCAGAACCATCCTAACCCTCGTCTCTATCGCCCTCCTAGCCTATGTGGTTTACATGCGCCACATCCATCCTCTTTCCCGCTATCCAGGCCCTCTCTTCGCCTCGTTATCCAACACATACAAAGCCTACTACGTGTACAAACTCGCGATCCACGAAAAACTGCTTGAGTTACACAACGCCTACGGCCCTGTTGTGCGCATCGGGCCCAACCACCTGCACACATGGGAAGGCGAGGCAATCGCGCCCATCTACAAGGGCGGAAGGTCCATGGGGAAGAGCGAGTTCTACGACGCCTTCACGGCATTTAGGCCGAACCTCTTTGGAGGGAGGGATGAAGACGTAAGCCGCCCTACTGGTTTCAGCTTTCCTGCATGTCACGCTAGTATCGGCAGAAATGTGCTGATGTGTGACAGATCCACGCCCTCCGCCGACGCCAACTAAGCCACGGGTTCGCACAAGTCTCTGTGCAAAAGCTGGAGCCACTCATCGAAGGCCAAATGGCCATCCTCATCTCGAAACTTCGGCGCCATGCACAAACTGGAGAAACGTTCGACCTGAAGCACGCTCTGAACCTATACGTCCTCGATATCCTCGGCGAGGTTGCGTTCGCGAAACCATTTGGTGTCCAGCTTACGGAAGACGTCGAGAAACTGCACGCCATCAACGACCACCTCTTACTGGCTGGTGTGATTGGTGAACTGCCCTGCCAGGATCTCACCAAGTTCTTGTCGAGCATAAGTCCCGTGCCGTGGATGAGGAGGCTGATGAAGAGTCGACTCAAGCTAAAGGGTATCTGCGCCGGTTGTGTGAGGTTTAAGATCGAGAACCAGGAGAAGATAACCAGGCCGGATTTGCTTCGGAGCTTGGTTGAAGCCACGGATCCGGAGAGTGGGAAGAGGCTGTCCGAGGAGGAGATCAATTCGGAGGCTTTTGCCGTGCTGTATGTCCCCTTGGCCCTAAGCCTAAGTACGCCGAACAACAGTCCAATAATCCTGACAATCATAACAGCGTCGCAGGCTCCCACTCCACAGCCGGAACAATGACCCTCCTCTTCTGGCACCTCATTCAGAACCCGTCGATCATGCGCAAAGTCCAAGCCGAGATCGAGAGCACACTCGGCCCACTGGCCAAAGACCAAACCTCGTACCCCATCGCCGGCCTCGAGGCCTCACTCAAGTACACAATGGCCTGTGTCCGCGAGAACTTCCGTATCAACCCCGTCTTCACGATGCCGCTTTGGCGCAAGGTCGGATACCCAGCTGGTCTGGATATCGGCGAGCATCATATCCCATATGGCGTAAGCAGCCCCTCCTCTCCATCTCTCCCCAGAATCACACCAGCAACGTACCGTATGCTGATGAAGATATATATATGAATTCCAGACAAACATCTGCATATCAAACTACGTCCTGCACCACAACCCCTCCATCTTCGGCCCCGACCATGCCATCTACAACCCCGAAAAGTGGCTCGACGAGTCCTGGAATAAAGAGAAGGGACGGTACCTGATCCCCTTCAGCGTCGGGCATCGCATGTGCATCGGGCGGAACCTGGCCATGACGAACATCCTTAAGAGCGTGACGACCCTGCTTGCCATGTTTGAGTTTGAGCCGCTCCAGGAACAGAAAGAAAGGAGTGTGAGGGTGCTTAGTCCGGGGATTGGGGAGATGGCGGGGTGTTTTGAGGTTAGGGTTAGACTTCGGGGTGAGGGTGGGAGGTAGAGATCGGTTGGTTGTAGAGGGCTCTTGGCAGGAAGGGGACGGGCATCTATTGGGTTGGGATGGGATGGGATGTTGTTTCAATGCCTTGACATCGTAGGATAGAGGACTTCCCAAGGCGATAGCCGATAGATACCTGGAAGGCTGGACTGGTAGTGAATCCGGCTCTGAGACCCATGGCTTCATAGACTCCGTAGGTCCGATGCGCCCTCGTACACTTGGGTACAGGTAGGTAGGTACTCGGGGGAACTTCAGTCGCGCATTTGAAGACCCATCGATTCATATGTGCTAGCCTACCGTAGGTGCTCGAGCTCGGCGATGGGGATGAAAATGAAAATGAGAGTGAGTGTGAGAGTGAAAGTGACAGGGTCGAGTGCGTCGAAGCTCGAAAGCCTCGCTTGCACACTGTACCTACCTTTATCTGCCGGCGGCAGCAGCATTCCATCTTCATGTTCCCAATCAATGAGGACATTTATCGAAACCGATTTCCACTCACGACCCACACTGCCTGCCTGTGCGCCTCTTTTTGTTTTGGAAAATGCCCAGCTGGCATTCTCGGGTCGAGTCGGAGTCCGACGGGTTGGGTTCCAAGCGGCCGGGGGTTTCGCTGTGTTGCATCTTGCTCTGGCTCTTGCTCTTGCTCTTGCTCTTGCTCTTGCTCTTGCTCTTGCTCTTGCTCTTGCTCTTGCTCTTGCTCTGGCGCAAGTCACAACACGTACACGTTCTCATCTGCGCCTTGACCCTGGTATGTGGTTTTGATTTGAAGGATAAAAAGGATAAAGTCGATTCAGGGTCGCGGGTCCATCGGAGTCCGAATGTGTGGCACTTTGCTCCCTCGCAACCCGGGCCAGTCATCACTAGGTCTAGGTACCTGTCTACACTTCCCATACTGTATGATTCTGGTGTCCCGTGCAAGTCTCATTTCGGATTCCGAGCCTCGGTGTCCGAACAGATCGCACCTTACTGGGGCCCCAGCCCAAATCCATCGAGGTCTCGGAATCCGAAGCGGGCTCGGTCCGGAATCCGAAGTCGTTGCAACCTGCGCCAAGGATTACCGTTTTAGGATCGTCTTGGCGCGGGTCGCCTTTTGGCCCGGATTCAACCCCGAACACGACCCGGTCCTTCAAGCTGGAATAATGGCTCTGCCGCTGGGTCTAGTATCTGTTTGGGGTATCCAGCTAACTGGCATTCAAGAATACGGGCGCGACTTGTGGGTTGGGCCAGGAATAAGCGAGTACGTGGCGTTCCGTCAATATATATATATCCGGGGGATAGATGAACTATATCCGTAGTCTATACCCTATAGCAGTCCAAGGACATAGAGATGCAATCGAAGAAGGAATTCATGCAGAATCAAACGGATTAACACCCTCCTTAAACCCAAACATAATAACTCTGTTATCACACGCAAGCGCAACAAAATCCCCGGAGACCACGTGCGGCGCGTACGAGCAGTCGATCGGCAGCCTGAACAGCCTCTTCCCACCGAACGTAATCCAGCTCGTGCGCGAGGAACCCGCGCCATCAATTCCGTACCCACCATCCCAGCGCGGAAGCTGTGTTGTCAGCGGATGCTGGGACCAGTCGATTACCAGGTTCCCGCGCTCCGTAATGAGTCTGGATAAATCCATGCTGAATTCTAGCTTCCCGAGCACCTTGTACACGCCTTTAGCGCCGTAGTTGTAGCGGATGGTGGCTTGTAGGGTACCGGGTTCGGGTTCGGATGTGGATGTAGGGCCGGTTGGTATTGTGGATCGGCCGAGCGCATAGATCCGTATGTCGCGGGATGAGGCGACGGCGAGGTAAGCGGCGTCGTGGGAGAATGCCAGGGCGGAGACTGAGGGATTGGGCTCGTCGTCCGTGATTATGTGACGCGGTTCTTCTTCAGTCTGTATGGCCCAGGTGTTGATCGTGCCATTGGGAAAGCCGCAGGCGAATAGGGCACTGTCTTGTGACCAAGCGAATGCCGCCCATTCAGGAGTCTCGATGCGTCTGATCAACTTACCTGTTGCTGTATCCCTAAACAATATCTCGTTGTCGGATGTTGTAAGAAGAATTTTTCCGTCAGATGAGAATGACTGTACAATTAGATGCTCCTCTTGCTCGGCCAGCACGTGTAACGCCGTCCATGTTGTCGTATCCCATAATCGGACGGTACAATCTGTAGCCGATGATGCGGCCAGTTTGGAGTCTGGGGATATGGCCAAGGAGCTGATATCAGAAGAATGCCCCTCTACCTCTCGTGTGAGGGCCCCTGTTGTTCTGTCCCATATTCCAATTGTACCATTCTCTGTGCCGGACATGACCCACGTCCTGCATGGAGACACAGAAAGGCAGCAGACGGCGCTTGCGTGACTTGCGAGCCCTACCGCCGCTTCTATACCGGTATTCCATAACTGGAGACCAGTCAAAGAGCCAATTGCTATCTTATCACCGTTACTCGAGACAGATAGAGATGAAACACCCGCGGCGGCGTGTATTTCCTTCTCTCGGGAGCAGGACTCTATGTCCCAGATCTGAACCGAGCCTTTGAAGGACCCCGTGGCAAAGCGGCGCCCGCCTGGGAAAAGAGCCATTGTCATGATTTGCTGATCGGATGGGTACCTTGCTAGTGTTGTCAAGAGCTGCCCCGATGTCGCGTTCCAGATCTGCAGCGCCGTCCACCCTCCCACGACGATCCTTTCGCCGTCCGATAGAGCCAATAGTGACTGCACATTGACAGTGTCGGTTGTCCATACTCGTTGGACGTCCCCGGTGTCAGCATCCCACACCTGAACTGACTCTGTTGTGGGAGTGGATGCAACCTGGGTATTTCCCAGAAATACCGCGCAGGAAGGTGCGATGAACTCAGAATTCGTTGTCTGCTGGATCGTCCCAGTGAGAAGATCCCATATACAGACTACACGCCCTGATGCTACAGACAGTAGTTTTCTCCCGTCCGGGGAGAACTGGAGTGTTGAGTAAGACCTATACTCCCGCCTACCTCGCAGGGTTTGTCTTAGTGACCAGTCAGAGACATTCCATATCTGGATGTAACGATTGCTCGCAGTGCTGGCGAGTAGTGATCCATCCGACGAGAGTGCCAGAACCTGGACATGCTTTTTATGGCCTTTGACGATGCGTTCAATCGTTTTGTTGTTTGTGTTGCATACCTCCAGTGTCCCCTCATCAAACCCACAGGTTATGAGACGGTCGTCTAAAAGAAATGCGGCAGCCTTTCCTCTCCCCTCCGCACCATAAATGTTGGTCAGGTGCAGCTTCCAATGCGTGTCGGTTACAGGAATACTCTGTAACCATGTAGGTAGTTGGCACTGAAAAAGTGACCTTACATGGCTTGACGAAGGGCTGAACATCAAAGCATAGCTATAAATCTGCAAGGGGGTTCTCCTCAAGGCGTAGTTGTGATGGTCTAGAAAATGGCGCGCGTCTTGGACGAGGAGTCGGAGGTTGCCAGAATTGTCCGAGTGCTTCTGTACGAAGTTAGTATGTGTTGAAACATTCGCCTTCAAACTCACCATCAAGGATTGCTGTAGGCGTTCCATCATGTTCGAAGCCACTTGTAATTTTCCAATAATACTGAGAGCCTCAACCCAGTGAAGGAGATGCCGCCTCAGAAAGCCTAGCACTGCGCCACTGTCAGAGAGACCTATGGCTTGCTGAGCCGGCAGATCAAGATTGCAAAGGTGCTCAATCCAATACTCGCAGAAGTACCGGACTAGGCGCAGCGGATCAGATCGCGGTGGCTCGATTGCGTCAATCTCGCAGGCCGGATCACCCAAGCCCCATATGTCTTTTTGCAGGGTAGCTGACATAGTGTCAAGCCCGCGGAGCACGATTCCGGCCTGAGTGTGGCCAGGAGTTTCCGAGAAGCGCCCTTTGCCTTGAATGGAAAGAACATATTCCCTGGCAGACTGATGGATGAAGTAGATGGTTCCGTCACGGATAGTGAGGAAGCTGCCGCAATGGTCAACAATCTCCTCGAGGTAAGCTACTTCACCGAATTCTTGTGGAAGATCAGCAACGATCGCAAGTTCGGTAATGTGCAAAGGCCGCTGGGCAAGCGTGATAACAGACAGAATATGACAGCAGTGCTGGAATGTCTCAGGTGATTCATTGTCAATTTCAAACACATCCTGCATCATTCGCTCGTACAACGCCTTCAACCCCGAAGGAAAAGTTTGTAGCACGGATGAGGTCTTCCAAAGGAGAGTCTTGCGCAAAGTCTTGAGAACCAAAGCAGCCCAAAGAAAGGTGCCATCAGCATGGCAGTGCAAGTACTCTTTGACCTGTGCTTTTAGCTCGTCACGATACCGCTTGCGCCTTGCAAGGTCTTCGACTTCAGAATCGATGTAAGCTGCGACAACGTCTCCAATCTCCTTCGCAGAATCTACACCGAGATCCAGCTCAGTATGAAGGCTGTCAACAGCTAGGAGGGCTTTTATCTCGGGTCTCGGACGGCTGGAAACGAGAACTTTCAGGCGTGGTGAGGCACGTTCCGTCAACAAGCCAAGCAAATGCTCCAGGTCGGACTCACACTCATCCAATGCGTCGATAAAGATATAAATACTTGGAAGACTCGGGTCGTCGAGCATCCGGGCGAGGATGTTGGACAGAGAAAAGAATGCATTGGCGTCATCAAACAAGGCCCTCCCCCTACGATCATACGCCTCACGAATATGGGCTATGAGCGATTTTCTTTGAGAAGCAAGCCGGTACATTAGGCCGCGTAGGACAGCCGTAGCGTTATTCAGATTGGGATCAGCGTTTTGACAGAAGAAGAACGATGTCAAGGCGTTTTTCGGGGCCGCCCGCAACATGTCTCTGATGATCCCGATCATGAGCATTGTCTTACCCTTTCCGGGATCGCCTTTAATCCAGTACAGGGAGTTTCCAGCCGCATATTTCCAATCTCGAAAGTCATCGCGGTCAAGGATCCATTGGCAGGAGCCCTCGAGCAACCTGTCCTTGGACTGCTCGATGCGATCCATATCATCAAGCGGGTCCGTCAAGCAAAGGTGTCTTAGCAGCTGATTGTCGGCGTCGTCTTTCTTGAGTTCCAATTGGTCCTGAACTGCGTCGTGGATGTTGGAGAGAAGGCGGACCTGCTGATCCTGAGCGATGTTGACCAGTGCTTCCAAATGAGATCTCATTTGCTGGGTATTGTACTGATCAATGTCTCGTTGAACGAGCCTCTCGGTATCCTGGATTTCTCTCAAGGCACCCTCCCAGTCGTTGAGTTTGATCGTGTCTTGGAGATAATTGACGAGTCGGTTCCGGTAATATGAACAGACGCTTTTCATCAGGAACGCTAGAAGAAGCCTGTAAAGATCGACGACGCGGCCTTCCAAAGCCGACCGTAGGTTCGAAGACAGGCCTCCATCCACCGTGTTCTCTCTGAGCAACAGCTGCGACAGCTCACCGTACCATTGCATCCGGGCAGCGACATAACCGACGCCTTCGCGATTCGCTCTCGTTTCCGTAGTCGGATTGACAACAATCTAGGTAATCAGCAAGAGAACCAGGAAGGTTTACAACAACGTACCTGCAGCGCAAAGGAAACGGCAGTCCAGGCAAGCGCGGCCTGAGGGATTGGCTGCAACGCTGGGCCGACGAGGTTGTTCAGCGCTTGAGCACCCTGCAGTGTCTTCTCCATCTTCAGCTTGTTTCCGGTCCTCTCCATCCCCAGCTTGATGAGCTGTTCCATCTGAGCCTGTCGCCGGCCATGGTCGGCTTTCTCAATGGCGTTGTCTTCCGCGGAGGCAGGCGCGAGCTCGCGGGAGAGGACTCGTTCGTAGGCGTCGACCAACTGGCCATCCTCTGCTTTCAGGCGGTCGTATGCCTTGGCCCATAGCGTCGCAGCTGTAGTTGGGTTGTCTAGAGTTGAATCGTGAGGAACCGGCGCCGGTGTGGGAGAGGGAGGAGGAGAGGGGGAGGGAGGACGATCGGAGTTGCCCCGCTTCTTCGACTTGTGATGCCTGAACCCCAAGGCCGACAGTAGCGAAGGTGCCATTCTACAACCGGAACCGCACAACGTTCTGCTCAGAACTACGGCTCACCCGGCCTGAAGTCTCTGATTTCTCCCCTGCGAGGAACCGACAGAGATAGAAGTGCGAGGGTCGACTGGTTCAGCCGCCAAGGTATGAGCCCCCGCATGACGGCTTAAGCGCCCTAGACGTGGAGAGTTGCCATTGGCGACTGCAAAACGCCCCAAGGCTGTCCAGGGCTTTCTCCTCGACTTCGCTCATTGAGGCTCTGCTCCCGTCAAACAGTCTTTTCCAGCATTGCGTGGAGTCGAGCGCCAATGCTTCCATGCAAATTTAGTTCCGGCTGCATGCAATTCCCGGCCCTGCTGGCGATGTTGACGGTAACGGTAAGCCCTTGAGGTGGTTGGGAATGAACAATTGCAAGGCCAATCAGCGACTATCCATTCTTCAGGGAGGCAAAACTGAAAAACATGGCAAATACCATTCAGGGTTCTCTCTTTGCCCTCGCAAGACATGAGACATAAGCGAAAACGCTGCCTGTCCCCCTCAAGAACTAGGCAATTAACTTCAGCAGTTATCGTCGTATTACAGAGAAGACGGTGACCTCGGCAACATTGCACCACTGACTCCGATGTCAGTCCTCACGCACCGGCTTATCTGGACAGCAGCTGCTATTGAACCCGGTGCTTGCAATGCAGCTGACCGTTGGCGCCTCGTACCGCAGCCGGTGTACCTGTACAGGCCAAGAGGGCTCCGTCATACAAGAGAGACACAGGCCTAGCCGTTGGAAAATAGGATTGCTCCACTCAAAGCAGCGGATTCCCAGAGTGCCAGGCACTTGGAAGCCCACTATTGTAAGACCTCGAGCACAAGTGCAGTTAGGAACAAGCCTGACGGAGTATTTACCAGCGACAAATACACCGTCCTCCGATCTACCGCGTAGCCAACTGGCTCTCGGGGTGACACGATCGAAGGCTCCTGTCCTGCCTACCTCGGCTGGGATCACAGGCCTCGCTTTTTGTGGTCGCTTGTATACTCGAGAGCCGTCCTATTTGTTGCATATGCCGCCCATTTCGTCTTCTGGTTCACCTTGGAAGACTGCAAGGAGGTTTGACTAGTGAGCTCGAGTAGAAACCAAGAGTTGATATTCGAACAGAATCTCAGAGCTCCTGACGCGATGGCAGATCAGTTTGCTGGCCGGTGGGTGATGGTAGGTGTCAACTATTGCCCTTTATGTTTGTCAAACTACTGCTAAGTGTATACTGGCATTGATCGCAGGACAAAGGGCTCTGTTCCGACCTCGAAAGCATTCTGAAACTTGTACTCCACTCTCGCCGGCTCCTTCGTTTGACATCCTGACTGAGACTACTATAGCAAGGCCTAAGCTGGCCCCTCCGCAAAATGATCTGCCTTGCAGGCGTGCGAATTGAAATGAATACCGAATTCAACCCCGATCCCACGCAAACAGTCATCAAGGTGGACGTCACACCCACGGGCACCGGAGGGATGGCAGCGTCAACAGAGACAAGGAAGATGGACTGGGCACCGTTCGAGAAAAACGACTTTCTGTTTGGGCTCTGCCAGGAACGCAGCGAGTTCGTTCGCGGAAGTAAAGATGACCAGGGCAGAGAGTATCCGAGCGTCGATATGCAGACCGAAGTCGGCGATCTTAGGGCTGGGAGGTTCCTGCGGGGGGAAATCAATGAGCACGGAAGCGAGACCGAGTGGGATGTTTCTCGGCAGGTACTTGGAGATGAGAAGAAGGGGGAGGAGGGAAACGAAAGTGTCTGGGTCCATACGTTTGTGAGGAACTTGAATGGGGGGAATGGGTGGACTGCAGAGCAGGTGAGGCAGGCCCATTCGGTTTGCCATAATCTGGCAGAAGTATACTGACGATGCACTTCTCTACAGATATGGGGCTTTGAAATAATTGATGGTGAGCGGTGTCATACTCGACGGGTCGTCGTCGCGAATAAGAAGGGTCAATATGTGCTGGCGCGATTGGTGTACAAGTATCTCGCGGATGGAACAGGTTCGAAGGGTTAAACGATCTGGATACGGTCACATCCATGAAGCGAGCATTAAGGAATGGGATGGGCTTATGCCTATGGACCTTGGGAATAAGTGTCTATTAGTATTAGCCTGGGGAATGCAAAAAAAGGTTTTAAGATATATGAGCTGACCAGATACGCACAGATGTTCCTCCACGTAAGGTATATAAAAAAGTCTCGTGAAAGGATCTGGGAAGAGCTAAACTGTGCCAACTCTTATACATTTGTCCTCGGATAATCGCTGTATAAGTTCCTAATGTTAGTTCAATATCTGGGCGGAATAACCACCCGAGAGACGAGCTTGATCTCTAGAGCATCTGAGCTTCTTGATCGTTTACCCTCTGGATACTTTCCACGTCTTCGGCAACGGGCGCCTCGATTTATGTGTGTCTGCATTTCAATCCAACAATAAAAGCTAAATTCTCCATCAACATTCTCCAGTCGTACTCTCCAACCTCAGATCACAATCCAAAGACTCTAAACTAATTCAGCCTCTCCCCCCCCTCATCAAACCTGACCACCTCCCCACTAAGCAAGGCATCCTGCAACGCCCGCCCAATCTTCATAACCACCAACCCGGTCTCCAAGCTCACCGGAACCCTCCTATCCCCAAGCACCGCATCCACAAACTCATTCGCCTCCACCGCAAACGCCTCCTCAAACCGCTGCCAATACTCCGCCTGCACCTCATGCCTCAACCCGCCCTTATCCGCAAGCACAACAGCATTCGCCCGCGGAATAACATTAACCATAACCTTGCCCTCCGTCCCCGTGATCTCCGTGAGCACATCATGCCCATGCGCCTGCGTCCGCGAGCAATAAAAGTACGCCATCTTGCCGCCCCAGAACTGCACCATCCCAACCGCGTTGTCGACGTCCCCGGCCGCCGCGAGCTCAGGGTGCGCCTGCAGACTACCGACCGCCCAGCACGCTTTCGGGACCGGGTTGTCCAGGTACCACAGCGTCAGGTCGATGTCGTGGATTGCGCAGTCGACGAAGATGCCCCCGTTGCGGGAGGCGTAGCGCACGAAGAACCCGCTTGTGTCTTTGAGGTCGCAGGTGTTCGAGCGGACGAGGAAGGGCGTCCCGATTGCGCCGCGTTGGATCTTGACTGCGGCGTCGCGGTACGAGGCGTCGAAGCGGCGGGAGAAACCCGCCATTATCTTGAGTTCTGGGTGCGCGTTTGCTGCCGTGACGACGGATTGCGCCTGCGCCACGTCCGTTAGATATATCTTAGCTATTCAGGGTGTCTTTCCGGTGAAGGTGACTTGGGCGCACCTCTGTGAGATCGGTGCTCAGTGGCTTCTCGCATAGCACGTGCAGCCCCTTTTCAATGGCCTTGAGCGTCTGCATGGCGTGCACGTCTGTGCTGGTGGACACCCAGACGGCTTGCAGGTTTGACTGCGAGGACAGCAGCTTGTCGTAGTCGTCGTAGATGGCGATGCCGAATTCAGTGTATTCGGGGTTGTGCTGCGCCCATTCGATCTCGTGGGGGTCGGTGGTGCAGACGGCGACGACTTTGGCGCGGGGCACGCGGTAGAGCAGGGTGTGGACGTGGCGTTTGCCCTGGTTGGTGTTAGTGGACTGGAGGAGAGGGAGGATGGGGTGGTACCATGCGGCCGAGGCCGATGACTGCGATGTTGAGGGGCATGCTGATGAGTGTAAGGCGATTGTAGAGGCGATTTTGGGTGTGAGCTGATGGTCTGAGCAAGGGAATGCTTCTACTATTTATGTCCATTTTCTATGCGGGCTTATACTTCATGTTGAAAAATGTCTTTCCAGCGAACGGCGCCTCTTTCCTAATCGGGTGATTTTCTAGTGCGGGGGAACTTCCTCCCTCTCATTCTGCAGTCGATCCCCCACTTTCCCTTCCTCTTTCACCATCTCCAGTCCACATCTCCAGTCCATCTGCCTCCCTATCATCATGCACTGCAACTCACCTGCAGTCTGACTCAGTCTGCTGTGGCCCTGCCGCGGCGCTTCCTTCCTTTCTTGGTAATCCTGACAAAAGCTGTACGAGCGGACGAATTTTCCACAGTTGACGTTTACAAACTGGCGCGCACTCTGAGCGCTTCGCTGAACACAAGGCCGAGCTTCGCGACCGCATCGCCCGAGGTCTGGTGATGCAAGACGATCCGCTTCCCATCCAGCTTGATGCCATGCTTCCTCCCGAGCTCGTTCCATCGCTCAATCGTCATCCCTGCACGTCCCAGATCAACCCACACTTGGTTGGTTTCGACCTCTCGCAACAGCTCTCCTCCCAGGTCGACCCACAGCTGCCCGACTTGCTTCGCCAGCTCATGGACTGAACGCAGCTTGTCTCGACTTCCCCAAGGGCCAACACCAAACTGCTCCAGTACCGCAAACTGAGCTGCTGCTGCTAATGGCCCCGACTGTCGCATTGCGCCGCCGAGGCTCTTACGGATCCGACGGAGCTGCGTTATAAGCCGGGCAGAACCAAGCACCATTGCGCCCATGGGGGCACCGAGGTTCTTGCTGAAGTCGACAGAGACCAGGTCGCAGAGCCTGCAGTAGTCTGGCAGACTCCCTCCTCCGGCCGCGACCGCTTCCCAGAGTCGAGCGCCGTCCATGTGGACTTTGATGTCATTATCATGAGCCCACTGGCTGATGCGGCGCAGTTCGTCGACTGGGACGACACTCCCACCTGCGGTGTTCTCGATACTGATGACTTTCGTTGGACACTTGTGGACATCATCGGTGACGAGAGCGCGAGAGACTACGTCTTCCAGCACCATGAACCGCCCGTTTGACGGCCGAACCGTTTGGATAGACGCGCCACTCATGCCGAGTCCACCTCCTTCGAAATGGACGACATGGGCTCGGGCGTCGACAAGCACACCACAAGGAGGCTGCGTCAACAGAGTCCGAATGGCCAACTGATTCGCCATCGTCCCTGAAATGACAAACGCCCCTGCTTCAACACCACATTGAGAAGACAGGAGAGACTGGAACTCGTTTGTCGTCTCATCCTCTTGGAAGACATCGTCTCCAAGGCTTGCACCCGCCATGGCCGCAAGCATACCGGTGGAGGGCGTCGTAATAACATCGCCTGCACGATCAGTGACTGCTTGCAAGTGAGCCTGGGCGATGCTTACTCCGGAAATCCGCCTCTGCGCGATGCGCTGTCCCCCATGCCATGTCTTGCATATCCGTCTGAAGAGCGTTTTCCAAGGTGAGGATCATTCTCTGAAGCTCGATGTTTCGATATGGATCGATGGGCTTTAAAGCACCCTACAAGCTGCAATTCCTCCTAATTTATCCGTCCTGGGTCACTGTAGACAAGGAACTATGGGGGTTGAAGCTCTTCACTTTTCGTTCGCCATGTCACAAGATTGCAAAAGGAACCGCATCTATATTTGTTTTGCTGCCGTCCAGGCTAACCTGAATTCAGAGGGAGCTGCGAGTGCGTGCTCGAGCGGCCAAGATCAGTCAGCTTACGGATGGTTCAGCTTCTCACCTGCCAAGGATCCCTTGCAGGCCTTGTGCCATGGCGCAGCCAATCGAGATATTAGATCCCGTCAGTGCGCAGGGGCTCCTGGCTTTGGTCGATTCAATTCCACCGCAGCCTCGCCTACGTGGGGGTCGCCGTCCATGTCTGGGCCTCTGGCGCAGCAGTTTGTAATGACTCGGAATCCCGAGTGCAGCATGAATCAATCTAAATCAGGCATCCCGTCAGCCGTTGTTAGTCAGAATGCCCTGCGTTTGAGAGTCTAATGAACTATAAAGGCTGAGAATAAGCCTGGCTTACGGGGAGAATGCCGCAGGACCAGGATGACCGCAGCAGATCGTCCAACCTTCGGGATTTTGAGTATGCAATCATTGCTCTGAGGGCTTCCTTTCCTTTACCTCGGGCGGTTCTGCAGCAGGATCCTGATCCAGTGGCCAAAGATTGGTGTCTTATTTGCTTATCGCTATCATGGTTCATGCAGTGTCTAGTCCGGTTGGCAATGTCGATGCAGTGACAATGCAAGCAACTCATTGCGCCCTCTTTTGCCGCCATTCCGCTTGGCTTATATCCTGCGTAAAAGCCCTGATCTGTGAGTACAAGTTTCGCACTTGAAGAATCTATCTGAGTCGCAATGTATCGCTTTAGGGCGTCAAGAGGGGACCGTCTCCGCTACATCCGACGGCCTTGACGGCAATGCTTTTACAGATGAACAGCTCAGTCACTATGGCCTGGAGACGGACGCCGAGTCTGGATATATCCGATGGAAGAGGGACAGCAAAGATCATCCACGGAACTGGTCAACCATGAGGAAGAGCTATGATACATCGCTAGTGCTCTTTGTGGAATTCTATACGTGAGTGCACCCTCTGTGACACGACGCTTGGCTGACCATATCTAGTACAGTAATCAGCACGACAGGCGTGAGTTCCATTCTTGGTGGCGATGGAGAAAGCTAATGCTTACAGGCCGCTGCGGCTGAGCTCGCGCTGCACGACTTTGGGGTCAGCAAGATGACCCTCCTGGTGGCGTTCAGTCTGATGTGAGCATGGTACCTCGCCTACTTGCGGAGAAATTGATCCAATTGCATTCAGGTATCAGCTAGGCCAAGCAGTTGGTGGTCTTGTCATCCCCCCTTCATCGGACCTCTTTGGCCGCCGCATGCCCTACCTCCTGTCGTGCGCCTTGTTCAGCGTCTCCTGTCTCGTTGTGGGGATTGCCCCGCATATCAGCGCTGTGTTTGTGGGCAGGTTCTTCTCCGGCCTGGCGTCAGCTGTACCCTCTGTCGTCGTTAGTGGGACAGTGGAAGACCAGTTCAACACCGAACGCCGGGTCTGGATTGTCCTGCTCTGGAACGCCGCCGCAACGGCGGGGTTGGCCTTTGGGCCTGTGTATGCTTCGTGCATTATCGAGGCCTCTAGCTGGTGAGTAAACCCGGTCAAAGCATGGACAATCTAACAATAAATAGGCGCTGGATCTTCTACAGCGCGGCAATTGGAACCGCAGCCGGCAACGTGCTCTTGCTGGGGATCCGAGAAAGCCGTCCGAGCAAACTACTCGCGCAGAAGATCGCCATTCTACGAACCCGATATCCAGCAGCAGAGCTGATGTACCACACACCAGACCCGTTTCCAACTTTCCGGGTCTTCGTCGAAATCGTCCTCGTTCGATCCACCGTCATGATGGTCACGGAGCCCGTCCTGATCATCATTTCCAGCATTAGCGCTGTGTCCTGGGGCATCATCTACCTGTTTACCGAGTCTCTAACAGCCGCATTCACCGAGCTAGGGCTTTCTCGCACAGAAGCATCATGGCCGTTCCTCGCCCTCATCATCGGCGTCCTCCTCGACGCCGTCCCGCATATCTGGGAAGTCAAGACGCTGCGAGCAAAGCGCGAGAGAAAGATCCGTATCGAGCCCGAAGATAAAATCTTCGGCTTCACGTACGGCACTATCGCGCTCGCTGCCGGTCTCTGGTGGTTCTACGCCACGACCCCGCCGGCCCGCAGCAGCGCGCATCCCCTCCTTCCAACAGCAGCCCTGATCCCCATCGGGTTTGGCGTGAACGAGATTGCGTACACGCTTAGCGGGTATCTAACAGATACATATACTGTGTATGCAGCATCCGCCTTTGCAGGCCTTGCTTTCGTTAGGGCTGTTGTTGCTGGAATTGCGCCGCTGATTGGACACGCTCTTTTTACACAAGGGCGCAGTGTTGTTCCCGGGTATGTGGTTGCTGCTGTGGGTACGGTGTTCTGCGGTGTTCCGTTTGTGTTTTATAAGGTTGGCAGACGAATGAGTGAGCGGAGTCCGTTTGCGAAGTATAGTGTTGAGGTTGATAGGTTGACGGGGCTGGATCATCGGGAGGATTAGGCACGGCTGGCTGATGGATTAGGAGATGGTCATTTTTGATCCGATCTATACTGGTTTCTGTTGGTATTATGTGTTGCTCTTTCCCTTGGAATGGGCTTCTCCAGTATTTGTGAATCCCAGGACAGTGCCAGCCTTTACGGCCAAGGCCGACCTGTGCTTAGGGCTTAGGGCTTCAGAATACCCCGTGCCGTTCCCCATGAACTTGCTGCCAAGGCTCCGCTCAGCTCTGCCTTCTGACAGAGACAGAGACGGAAGATAGTCTGCGGATGAGGAGGCCAGGATGTACGACCTTCAGCTCATGCAGCGGGTGCGGTGAGTACGCGAGGCATGATTGGTGCCGTAACTTGGCTTTTGCAGCCCTTAGCCCTAAGCCACCTCGGCCTTGTCCAGCTGCATACAGGCTGGCACTGTTATCCTTACAGGAATGGCGACGGTGAGAGTCTTTCATTGAAGCAACAGTCCATTGATATTTTCTATTCGGTAAGGAAATGATAGTATGCGTCGAATGTTGGGAGAAATGATGCAATCGGGATAGGGCTGGGCAGTGTCTGGAAAGTGCTCAGATAGCATCAACATTTTACGTAGACTCTACAGCAGCAGCAGCAGCATCGTTCCCCATCCCCTCTGTGTCCTTAGTTTGTTCCTCTCGTCCTCCAACCCAAGGCTCGCGCTTCGTCAGGTTAATCCAGACATCATGCCAGAGCCGCGCGGGCCCATTCATTCGCGACCAGGGCTTCGGCGTCTGCGGCGTCTCCCTGCACAGCCTAACGTCGTAGGCCATGAGTAGCTAAACCAATGTCAGCATCAACTAGCCACAATATCAGCTACCTGGGTACAGAACGACCCACCGCAACCGGCGCCTTATACAGCATCATCATGGCAAAGTGCTTGCCCAGACAGACCCTGCTCCCCGTGCCCCAGATCAGATTATACTTCTCCAGCTCCTTCGCCTTGGTCGGGTCAGCCAGCCACCGCTCAGGCTTGAACTCCTCCGCGTCAGGACCGTAGACGGCTTTGTCCCTGTGCGAGATCCACGGGTTCGCTGCTAGCTCGATGCCAGTTGGGATCCTGCGGCCGTTGATGACGATTTCGGGGTCCAGGGGTGTTAGGACGCGCGGGAGCAGCGTTGATGCGAGCGGGTGCAGACGCATGGCTTCGCGGATGCAGGCGCAGAAGAAGGGGAGGCTCTTTGCGACTTCCGTGTAGGTTGGGATGGGGTGGGTGATTTGGCTGCTCTGCACGGCTGTTCTCAGCTCCTCCACCACTCGGGTGTATGTGGTCGGCCGCGAGAGGATCTCGGCGAAGAGCGCTGAGCTGGAGCTGCCGAAGCCGTCGGAGCCTGCGCCCAGGATGACGAAGATCTCGGACTGGATGGTTTCGGCGTCGAGGACGTGCCCTTCGGGGGTGCGGGTGTCCATGAATCTACATAGGTGGGACGGGGGTCAGCTGGATACGGTACCCTGTTTGGAATAGATGCTGGGGTCCACTCTTACGCTTGCAGGAAGTCGTAATCGTCGTTGCCCTTCTCGGGCTTGACGACGCGCCCTTCTTCTAGGGCTTTGGTGCGGTCGGCCAGGACCTGTCTGGCGCGCTTCATGACGCCCCCGAACCAGATGTTCTGCTCTGGTGACACCTGGAAATACCTCTTCAGGCGCGGATGCGTGAGGACGTCGAATATCGTGTAGACCCTCCCCACCGCGCCGAGCAGTCTCATCCCGGCCTGGAAGATGCGGATCAGGTTGTCGACGTCTGTGCCGGTGTCCACGAAGCCCAGGGGCGTGCGGAACCCGACGTCGGTGATGGTGTCGTACGACAGGAAGGTGCCCCAGACTGCGAAGTCCAGCGGCTTCTTGGGCTCGACGAAGTCCGTGTCCAGCTTGTTCATCCACTTGGTGATGTTTCGTTCGACCAAGCCTTCCATCCGTTGCATGTTGGATAGCGAGTATGTGTTTGCTACCAGACGGCGATGGGCGGCGTGTTGGAAGGGATCTCGCACCATGAGGATGCCGGGCCGCTTGTACATTTCCTCGGGGAACCAGCGGCCCTTGGTGGAGCGGCGGTGGTAGACGGTCGGGATGATGGCGCTTTCTGCTAGCAGGAGCATTGTTGGGGAGACGCGCACCACGGGTCCTGCGTGGGTGTTAGGTCTGTTTCTGCGCGGAGGTAAGGGGGAGGACCGTATTTCTTCACTGCCTGCCATAAGACCTCACATTCGGTGCTGCGGAAGTGGTGCCATGCCGACCAGATTCTGGTGACGCCGGCCCAGAAAGGACCGGGGTAGTGGCGGAGGGGGTGGAAGTATCTGTAGTAAATGATTTGGTAGAGAAAGTTGACGGCTACCAAAGTAAAGAGAGAGAACAAGACTGTCAATGGGGTGATATTGTCAAGGCCTAATGAGGAAAGATGGAAGCCGGCGCCCATGGCTGTGATGGCTGCACTTGCAAATGGATGATGGAAAACACAGGGTCATGGCTGGAGGGCCTAGAGAAGGCAAGAAGGCTGACTCGGCGTTATTCTATGCCTGGCCCCCGTGCTCTGCCCACCAGGCTCATCTGATGTTGCAATATCTGCCCGAGCAGAGTGATTGTGCGAGTATGCCCGGAGCCCGAGTGCGAGGGCAATGTCCGACATCGACGACAAGCATTGCACAGGCCCGGAATGGGTGGCAATCTAGAGTGGACTGGATTCAATCACCCTACTGTTCATGCTGCTGTATGCACGAAAACGGCGGTGGCTCAGGGGCAAGGCCAGGCGCGTCTTGGTTGCCACGGCTCGACGAGCACCTCTCTGATCCAAGACGGTGGAGCCGGTGTGACGGCCAAGGCAGTGTGACCAACGGTGAAGCGGCAGGGAGGCACAGGAGAGGCAGGTCCATGCTGGCTGATGGGGGTGATAGGGGGTGGCAGGCCCGACATCCCTGCTCCAACAGGGAAGGGCCCCGAGTCTGAGACATGTGCTGCCAACACTCGAGTCAATGTCTGCCCCCTTTCTCAAGGTTCGAGTTCTCTATATATCACGAACGTCAAAGCACTGCCAGACTCAGCCGAAACTCTGCACAGCCAAACCATGGGCCAGTGCCACCTTGCGGACCCGACGGAGTACAACGGTTGTACGCGCCAGGCTTGGTCCCGATGGGGCACAAAAGGTGACCGTTGCACCCTTGAGAAACGCACCTGCTGAGATGGCCCAATCGCTGTCCTCTTCTCCCAGATCTTGCCCATCCAGCAGCAGGAACAACGGGGCATATGCAGATCTGTCTCGAAGCCAGGATGGACAGGCCGGGGCTAGCAGCAGCACACTCTCAGGATATAAGGCCCCTGGCCCCTGGCGCATGCAGCTCCAAAACGCCCGCCAGCCTGCTTTTGACGCATCCAGTTATTGGCCGGAATCCGCACTCCGAGACCTGTTGCATCTATACCGTCGTCTCGCGAGACTCGTCATCCTCTCATATATCCGCCGAGGGCGCTCGCAAATCCACAGCATTGAAATATCCACACCAATGACATCCACAGCGATCGTCGTCCCTGAAGAGGACGTCCGGCGGGGCGGAGGCGTTTCAGTATGGCCGACCGAGATCCATGCGAACTACGCGAGCGTCGTCGAGGAAGCGGTCCAACTGACCGAGGAGTACACGGCCGAGTTTGGAATCAAACTGGATACACACACAATCGCGAACCTGCCGGACATCGGACCGACTCACGTCACGGCCCTTTGCATTCCACACTGCCTGGACGATCGGCTCTCGCTGATGACGCGCTTTTGCGAGCTCACCTTCCTAAATGATGGTATGTCACGTCTTGTATTATCGGCCGCCACTAACAAGCCTAGATTACTACGACGATGCCGGCAAAGACAAGGTGCGTTGCGGCTTTTCGTGGGTGATGCGTAGCTGACCGGCGCAGGTACGAGAGTACAACGACAACCTCCAAGACTTCTTCGGCAAGAACATGTACGACGAGGACCAGAAGGCGGCGATGAAGATCAAGGCCAAGGGGTTGTTTGCGAGCTACATGGTCGAGATGATGCAGGTCGACCGCACGCTGGCCAACGACCTGATGGCCACGTACAGCCGGATCCTCGAGCCGACCAGCCTGCCTGATACGGGGGAGTGCAAGACCTTTGCGGACTATCTGGTCCTGCGCCTGGCCAACTCTGGCCTCGAGTACGTGACCTCACTCTCATTAGGCTATCTGCAATTAGTATACGGACTGACCTGCTCCAGAGTCTTTCAAGACATGGCGTGCTTCGGCATGGGCCTCAAGCTCACAGAAGCCGAAAAGGAGAAGCTCGCCCCAATCATCAACGTGGGCCACCACTCGACCTTCCTCATAAACGACTACTGGAGCTGGCCGAAAGAGGTGTACAAATACTACGAGAACGGAGAGAAGAACCTCCCGGTCAATGCCGTCTGCATCATGATGCAGGAACATGGGTGCTGCGAGGAGGAGGCACGGCATCGAGTCAGAGAAGAGATCGTCATCCAGCAGAGAATCCACCTGCGCATGATCAAAGAGATGGAGGAGCAGGAGGGGCCTCTCCCAGAAAAGTACTACAAGTACTTTGGCGCGGTCGAGACGACGGCATCGGGGTCTGAGTACTGGAGCTGCTACAGCCCGCGGTATCCGAGAAAGCATGATCTCAGCCAGCCAGAGATTGCGATTGTTGACGGAGAGCTGCACTACAAGACCAGCACGGGCGCCACATACAGACCGTCCGTCGCCGAGGTGAAGAAGGGCAACCTGCGGAGGCGCAGTGACGATGCGGTCCCTGCAAAGTCCATGCCCAACGGCACGCACACGCAGCACACGCCTCTCCAGAATGGAAACGGCGAGAAGCCAAATGGCCTCACCAACGGGTCCGGGTCGAAAAAGCGACATGTCCCAGAGCCTGTGGATGACGGATTTGCCCAGGCACCGACGGATGTGAGCGAGTCTCTGTATCCTGCTCCTGCAGTACTAATCTATCGGCAGGAGGTATTAGCACCATACAACTACATTGCATCTCTGCCCTCCAAGAACATCCGAGACAAGTTCATCGACGCGCTGAATCTGTGGCTGCACGTCCCACGGCCGGCGCTGGCCTCCATCAAGAAGATCATTGGGATGCTCCACCACTCGTCTCTCATGTACGCACAAATGGTTCCAATGTTTCAGCTATCTAACAGCAAGCAGGCTCGATGACATCGAAGATAACTCCACCCTACGCCGTGGAAAGCCATGCACCCATATCCTCTTCGGGCCCGCGCAAACCATCAACTCGGCCAACTATACATTTGTTGGTGCATTCGCCGAGTTGCAGAACTTGCGGAGCCCATTGGCGACAGATATATTCATCCGTGGGTCTACCTAGGTAATTGATGAGAACATGGCTGGAACATGCTGACGCTTAATGCAGGGGAAGTCAAGAACATGCACTGCGGACAAGCCCTCGACCTGGCATGGAAATACCACACCCACTGCCCATCAGTCGACGAGTACATGATGATGATTGACAACAGTGGGCTCTCTATTCCACCTACCTTGGGGATATGCTAAATCAGTCTAGAAACGGGAGCAATGTTCCGCCTCTGCGTGCACCTCATGCAAGCCGAGTCCAGCATACCCAGGTAACCAAGCCTACCTAACTTATTCCCACCCCTCCTTAGGCACCTGCATCTAACAGTGGCCATCCACATCCAGCTCCCACATCAACGCCGGCTTCTTCGTCACCCAGCTAGGCCGCTACTTCCAAGTCCGCGACGACTACCAGAACCTCGTGTCGACCGAATACACCGACCAGAAGGGCTTCTGCGAGGACCTGGACGAGGGCAAGATCTCCCTGCCCCTCATCTACACGCTCATGCAGTCGACGCCCGAAAGCGCCGTCGTCAGGGGAATCATGCAGCATCGTACCGACGGGGAGGGCCTGCCGCTGCACGTCAAGCAGTATATCCTGCAGGCGATGGAGACCGCGGGGGCACTGGATGCGTGCCAGTCCCTGGCGAGGGAGATGCAGAGTAATCTGATCAGTGAGCTGCACCGTATGGAGGAGACGTTCGGGCAGAAGAACGCGCTTATCGAGTTGATTCTGCGGAGGCTGTGGGTTTAGCCGTCCGGGTTGGGGGTGTTGTGATGCTGCTGGTGTTGGGGTTACTCGTATAGAGATAGGCCAGCATATACTATGATAATGTCGGTCGTTCTTCTAGCATCAGTCGAAACCTAGTAGACGGGGCTGTCATTCCCTCGTGCGCACACTCTGGTATTACACAAATAAGTAAGCAGGAATAACAATACCCAGCCCCGCGGTCTTCTACGTGCTTGCAAGTCAAACATTACCTGGATTTACAGAAAGACAAAAGTAATCTATGGAAATAAAACCTATGCTTGTGGTAGTAGATATGATGGATGGATTCAATTTCTGATACCGAGGGCTGGCTAGGAGGTTACTAAAAGGAATGAATAGTTACTATATGTAGAAGTCTCTTGTATTACTTGGTGTGCTAAGCTAGATATTTTAGGGATAAATAAAAAGTTTTATAATAGTTATTTAGGCTAAAAAACCTTTTTTTATTAAAGCTTTAAGGCCGCTGGTAACCTTAAGTACTTACTTTTAATACTTTTTTTTATTTATACTAAAAACTTCCCTAAATTAATAAGCTATAAGCTATTAGTATAAAAAAAGTCTTTTTTAAATTAATAAGTTATAGGCTATTAGTCCCGGGAAAAGGCTTTTTTAAAAATATAATTTATAAGTAAGTATTAAAAAATTAATAATTAAAATAATAAAAGTAATAAGTATTAATAGGAGCTTTAGGTATTAATAAGCTAAAATAATTCCTAAAAATATAAGTAAATAATAATAAAATATATAAAATAATAAACTTTTAATAAAAACTTTAGGCACCGGGTGGCCTAAAATTAAAGTAAATAATAAATAAAAAGCTATATAATTTATAAATTTAAGGGCTAGCTAGTATATTTACTAGTTTTTTTTTAAAATTATATAGCCCCTTTATAGCTAAAAAAGTAATAATAAATATTAAAATATATAAAGGCTATTTTAGGGGTAAAACAAGGCCTAGTTTATATAAAAGTTTTATTAATTAATAGTAATAAACTAGTATATAATAATTTATTTAAGAATTTTAATTTTTAGTATAGGGTAGATTACCTAGTATAATAATATATTAAATTTATTAAAATATATATTTTAAGTATTAATTTTTTTTAGAAAATTTAATGCTAGTATAATATTATATATTTTAAAGGGTATAGTATTAGCCTAGTAGCTATAGTAAGTATAATTAAGTTTTAAATATAAAATTTTTAGGGTATAGGCCAGTGGGATTATAATAAAAATTATAATTTTAAATAATAATATTTTTTTTATTAAAAAATAAGATTATTATAATAGCCTACATGTACTAAAAGCTAATAATATTATTTAATTACTAAATTTAAAAAAGTTTTAAGGTTTTAAAGGCTATTAACCATGTGGTATAACCATGCTTTAAAACTTAAAAAAATATTAAATAAAAATTTTAATTAAGGTAGTTAATAAGCTAGTTATGCTAGTAAGCCTATATTTTAATATTTAAAAATAAAATTTTTTGTAAGTAAATATAAAAAGCACCAAGAATTTTATTAAAATAAATTAAAAATATATTAACTTTTAGTATTATAATTAAGGTATTATATAAAACTAAAATAAGGTTTTAAAATAATGTAATATTATATTACCTTTATTATAAGGTTAATCCCTAAAAATAAAAATAAAATAATAATAAGCTAGAAATAAAAATAATTAAATATAGTTTTATAATATATAAGTTATTATAAATTTAGTATAAAAAAGGCTAATTTTAGTATAAAAATTACTAAAAAACCTACTTATATAAGTTAAAAATTTTTTTTTAATAAGGCTTTAAAGTATTTAAATACCTTAGGCCCTAGTGGCTTAGTAAAGCTATTTATTATTTATTTTTTAATAAAAATAAATTAAATATTAATAATATTTTTAGCCTTTTTTTTAAATAAAATAGTGCTAAATATTAATATACTTATTTTAAATATAAAACTAGGGATTACTAGCTAGTACTATAGCACCTTTATTATTTTTATAAATTATAATAATAATAAAATTTACCTTTTAAGTATTTATAAACTTTTTTAGTAAATAATAAAGTTAAATAGCCTTTTTAATAACTTATATTTTTTTTATATACTTAGCTTTATAAAAAAATAAAGCCATGGTAGGCTAATATTTAAAAAACTAGCTAATAATTATAAAACCTATATAAAATATATATTTAAAGGTAAAATAGTATATTTTTAAATTATTATTTTAATTAATATTAGTATAACTAGTTAATAGTTAAAAATTTTTAAAAAATATTAATTTATAGTTTATAAAGCCCTAAAAATAGTAAAACACGTGCTTAATAACTACTATATATTTTTTATAGGTTTAATAAAAAAATAACTTAAAATAAATATAAAATAGGTAATATTAGCCTAAGTCCCTAGTATAAAATATATTAGGAACTTAATAATACTTTAATATTACTTTAAAATATTTATTAAAGCTATATACTCCTTGGGAGCAGGCTTTAGCTTTAAGTAAAAATTTATTAGCATGCTATAAATTTTAAAGTTATTTATATTAAATTAATAAAAAATCTTATTTATATAGCTAAGCTAAAAAAGCTAAAGTATTTAGTTAGCCTAATTTTAGTAAACTTTCATGCTAAAATAATAATAATAAAGGCTAAAATTAAATATTTTAAAGTACTTACTTAAGATATTTTTAATTTTTTAAATTTAGGCTTTATTCCTGCTAATTAATAAAAAATTATTTATATAAATAATAATAAAAATCTTATTATTAGTAAAAACTTTTAAATTTAAATAAATAAAATAAAAGCCTAGCATGGCTAGAAAGTTTATAAATAATTAATACTAAATTTATAATACTTGCTTTAAGTTATAAAAAGCTTTTTAAAGCTAGTAAACACGCTTGGAGTTATTAATAAAAAAATAAGACTATTTTATAAAAATTATAATATTAATATCCCTATATAAAAATATTATTTTTATATTTATTTACTTAATTTTAAGGTCTAGCATGGTAATAATAATAAAAAAAAGCTTATAATTTATTAGCTTTACTACCTTAATAAAGGTTTTATAATAATTAAGCCTATAAACTTGCTTAAAGCCATAAACTACCTAGTAAGCTTTATAATAAAAAATTTAGCTTTTTAATTTTTTTTAATTTTAGGACCTATTTACTAGGGAATAAGTATTTTTTAAGTAGTAAATTAATAAGATTTTAGGTTTTATTTTTTATTAAAAAATTATACTTTTTTTACATGCCTTTAAATTACTTATTTTATTTATTTTTAGCTTTGGCTTGCTAAACTATTAATTTATTTTTTTAAAAATTTATTTATAAAATATTATAGCTAGTATTAAAATATTATTTAAGCTAGGCTTATTAATTAATACTTAAAAATTATTTAAATAAGGTTTATTAGCTAGGGTAATTTTATTTTATATAACTTTAATAATATTTTAAAAATAAAATAAATAAACTAGCTTATTTAAAATTTAAAAAGCCTTTTTAAAATTAATAGCAGCCTAGGCGTGTATGTAATATATTAGGCTAGTATTATAAAAACTAAAATTTAAGTTTTTTAAAAATATATTAACTTTAATAATTAAATTAATAGCTTTTATTACTAGATTTTTAGGGTTTATATACTTAAAAAGGTTTTTAAAAGCTAAGCTTTTTAAAAATTTATTTTTAAAATTTTTTTTAGTATTTAGGTTAGCGTTGGCTGGTAAGCTTTTAAAAATAAAGATTTTTAAAAAAGTGGGAGCTTTAAGTGCCTTAGGAATAAAGATTTCTAAAGGGCTTAAAAGTAAGGTTTTAAAAATAAAAATCCCTAAAGGGCTTAAAGTTTTAGTAACTTCTAGTAAGGCCTTGGGGATAAAGGTTTTTAAAAATACTAAAGTAGTTACTTTTAGTAAAAAATCTGGCCTAATATAATAATTTTTAATAATATTAATATTATATACTAAAACCACATAGTTATTATTTAAAAAAACCTAGTATAATTTATTTATTTTTTTATTAAATTTAACTAGCCTTTTAATTCTTATTTTACTATTCTTATAAAGCTTGTTTTACTTTTTTAATAGGTTTAAAATATATACCTTAAATTAAAAAATATAAATATAAAAAATATTTAATTAGTAGCTATACTAGGCTTTAAATAATATAATATTATTTAATATAAAATATAGGGTTTAATTATATAAATAACTAGTATTTTTATAAAACTTAAATCACATGTTAGCTAGGGCTTTAGTATTATATAATATAAATTATATAGGGCCTAGTAGCTTGCTAATAAGTATTTTAGTATAATTATTTTATTTATATTAATTTATACTAAAAGTTTTTATAATAATCCTAAAGCTATAAATAAGGTATTATAAGTTATTATAAGGCGCTTTTGTATACTGCGCTGAGCTTAGGAGAACGTGAATTACCGCAATAGGAAAGCGTTGTGTATTTGTAGTAGGAACTAATTACTAATTCTTTAAGTTAGAGTTCTAAGTTAAACTTAGTATTTTATATATTATATAACTAACCGCCGCCTTGGCGCGCGGTTAAATTAGCACTAAAGTTTTTTTATTAAGTAGCCTTAGGCTGCTAAATTATATTATTATAATATTATATAATTATAATACTATAGTAATAATAATAATACTTTTTTTTTTTAAGTAATCGCGCCCTCGCGATCCATAAATTTATATTTTTTTTTTATAAAAAGTAATTTAAATTATAAATCTTATTAAGCGCTATAAAATAAGCTATTTTTAGGTTTATAAAGTGTTATAGTTCGCGTGTAATTCATGTTTAAAGTTAGGAATAAAAAATTAATTTAATTACCTTACTTTACTACTAGGTTTAAATATAGCATTATTATTTGTAATAACTAGGTATAGTATTTTAGTTTTAATACTAAAGCGCCTTTATAATCTTTTTTTTTTTTTTTTTTTTTTTTATTTTCTTAAAGTAAGATGGCTCCTGTAAGTATA